CAGAATGACTGATGAGCATTGGCTTCTACCTAAAGTCACCAGCTGCACTAGGCCCTAACAAGAGAATTGTGTTGTCTTTGAAGCTTTGAAGTCTCTCTGGCTATGAAAAGCTCTAGATGGCATCTTCCTCCAGCAGGAGTTGTTTTGTCATTGGAAGTCAGTATGTAAGCTTAGCCGCCTCATCAGTGACTTGCGCCGGGTCTCCTGCATAACGGCTGTAGCTGCCCTGGCAGCACTTCCTGCCTCATCTTGCACCTCTGCTTGCAGCTAATGTTCTTCTGTAACTCCCTTCTTCCCTCTGCTTTTATAGAACTGAAGAGTTGGGGCCTTGTGTGACTAGGCTTTGGCTAAGGCAGACACAGACCAATAAACCCTTCTCCCTATCAGCAACATGACTGGCTCCATTTCTCATCTGCCTTTTCACTAGAGCAGCACTTTTACTTGGAGAATGTTTCCTCTGTCTTTACAGCTAGACAGTTTAGCATACAATACCTAGCTCTGGGACTACTTTGGCTTTCAACCTGTCTTCTCAACTAAGGTCAGAATATTTGATAGATTAAAATCCCCATCATAAAAGCAACGCTAGAAAACAGTAAGACTAATTTTCCAATGGAAGATCAAAATAAAGCCATTTTAAGCGTGCAAGGACTCACGGAAATTACTTGAGTCTCTCTTTTTGCTGAATAAGGGTGATACAGTAGAATAAGGACCCTCCAAAGATATCTCTTATTCTCCTAATTCCTGAAACCTAAGAATGTGTAAGCTTTTGTGGAAAAGTGAATTTGGCAGATGTGATTAAGAATCCTGAGACAGGTATCCTCTTCTGGGTGGGTTCAGTGTAATCACAAGGATCCACATAAGAGAAGCAGAAGGGACAGAAGAATGTCATAGATGGATTGAAATATGCTGTGCTGCTGTAGCTGTCTTCCTGTGCCTGGCTTATTTCACCTTGCATAATGTCTTCTAAATTCATACACATCATCACAAATGACCATTCTTTTTATGGCTGAATAGTGCTCTATTATACCATATATTCTTTAGCTATTTCATGATGCACTGTTAACATTTATTCTTTTTTTAAAGTTGGGAATTGCTATAGGGAACATATACGCTAGGCAAGAACTTTACCATTGAGCACCACCCCAGCTCAAATGTTAGCATGTCTAGGAGTACCTTGACCATGAATTCTCTGAAGTCTTATCTGAAACTGTCTTTATTTTTCTCTTCAGTTTTTATATTTTTAGAATAAGGTGTGGCCAAGTAGATCAGGCTACGAGTAGGTCTCCTTCCTTGCCTTATGATTAGTGATCAGCAAAGGTCTTGAGAAGGCTTTGTATATAGATTTGGGAGATCATTTCCTCTTTGGTTCTTTCCCAACTGGGATATTACTCCTGAATTATTACTGGTTATTCTGACAACCTTGAATTCTGACATCTGATTTCGCAAGCCTGAAAGACTTTGCTTTCTTCCTGTTCTGCCCACAGTGGCAAGCAGACTTAATAGTACCCTCAGCTAAACTCCACAAACATATAAACCTCACCTGGGCAAATTCTCCCTCCCAGCCACTGTTTGTACTTGCCAGGGAACGTGTGTTCTCTGCAGGCACTGTAGCTTTCAGAGAGAAAAGGGAGGAGCCATTTCTTTAACAGCTGATCCTCATATTTTATACTGGATAAATTGCTAGACATAATCTGGAATAGAAAACAATTTCATCTTTCATGGAGATGAGAGAGTGGTAAGAGTGCAGGAGTATTTGGTCTGACTTGTGTCAGTGTGGAAGTCAACTAGGAAAATAAGTCTGCTGACAACTTCTACATAATCAGGCCTGTAGTCAGTTTAGTAGACAAGATAAATGGCTTGTCATACAATTAGACTGATCCTCATGAATGTTCATCTAAGAGCTTCTGGTGAACTGAAGGCTGTTGAGAGCACTGAAAATCAGAAACTGGAGCAGAGAGCATAAATGCAAGTTTTCCCCAAAACTATGTGTCACACAGTTTGGTATTTATATGGAATCCAAGCTCCTTAGGAACCCAAGATTAAATTCTCTCTTTTCTATTCCAGATTATGTCCAGCCAAGTTATCCAGGATAGCATATGAGGATCAGCAGTTAAACGGCGACTGATCTGGATTGCCCCAGAACCTAGAGGATATATATCCAAAGGAGAATATTCACAGCGTATGTGAAAGAATGGCCACCTTGTGGACTTTTTGAATTTACCTCTGTTCTAGTTTACACTTTTTATTTAAGTCTACTTTACCTGATACTTTATATTTATTTGGTATATCTCAAACCATTCCTTTTTTTTTTTTTTAATTTTTGCTGATCCTGGGGCTTGAACTCAGGGCCTGAGCTCTGTCCCTGAGCCTCTCTGTGCTCAAAGCTAGTGCTCTACCACCTGAGCCACAGCACCACTTCTGGCTTTTTCTGTTTACATGATACTGAGGAATCAAACCCAGGGCTTCATGCATGCTAGGCAAGCACTCTACCACTAAGCCATGTTCCCAGGCCCATTCCTTTATTTTATTTATTTATTTATTTATTTTTGTCGGTCATGGGGCTTGAACTCTGGGCCTGGGCGCTGTCCCTCAGCTCTTCAGCTGAAGGCGACCGCTCTACCACTTGAGCTACAGCGCCACTTCTGGTTTTCTGGTGGCTTATTGGAGATAGGAGTCTCAAGGTCTCTCCTGCCCGGGCTGGCTTTGAACCGCGATCCTCAGATCTCAGCCTCCTGAGTAGCTAGGATTACAGGCGTGAGCCACCAGTGCCTGGCTCCATTCCTTTATTTTTATTCCTTCTGTGTCATCTTGTTTTCAGTGGATCTCAGAAAAGCATATAGTTTTGTGTGTGTGTATGTGTGTCTTAGTTTTATATGACTAGCTTCTCAGTATTTAAAAGGAAGTCTGTGTTGACCATTTAAAATAACTAACTGATCTTACTCCAGCATCTTGGTTTATACTGTTTGTTCCATTGCCTTAGTCCTCCCACTCCTCTTATTCTAGCTTTCTGCTAATTTTTCCACAGCCTTGTTTTGCTCCTAGTAATTTATAAATTAGAAATCCTATTTTTATTTAATTAGTAAGCACTTCAAAGGAAAAAGGAAAGAACCCTCTATTTCTTTCCCAGTATGAGGATTGCAGTCATACCATTGATGCTCTAGAAATCATGGATGAGTCACATCCTTGCCTTTTGTTCCCAGTCTCAGGTTATCAGAATAATTTAAGCTTTGAGTCAACTATTGTTTCCTTTTATACATCTTCTAAGAAATACTTTTCACATTTGCATTTCTTTAAATCTATAACATCCTTAGATGTTAACTATTTTAGAACAATTACTTAGATATACTTTTTTTTAGACAGTCATGGGTCTTAGAACTCTGGGCCTGGGTGTTATCCCTGAGCTCTTCAGCTCAAGGCTACTGTTCTACCACTTGAGCCACAGTGCCACTTCTGATTTTCTGGTGGAGATAAGACTATTATGGATGTTCCTGCCCAGGCTGGCTTTGAACCACAATCCCCAGAGCTCAGCCTCCTGAGTAGCTAGAATTATAGGTGTGAGCCATGGGTGCCCAGCTTAGACATACATTTTTGTTTTTTTTTGTTTTGATTTGTTTTGTTTTTATCCGTTGTCTGGGCCTAGGCGCTGTCCCTCAGCTCTTTAGCTCAAGGCTAGCGCCCTATCACTTGAGCCACAGTGCTACTTCCAGCTTTTTCTGCATATGTGGTGCTGAGGAATTGAACCCAGGGCCTCATGCATGCGAAGCAAGCACTCCACCACTGGGCCAACTTCCCAGCGCAAGACATTTTTTACATGAGGAAAAAGTATCTTATTTGAATATATATAAAATAAATTGTTGACAGATAAATTTAGCAAACTTAGTTATTAGATATGAGCTATACTTACCAAGGGATATATGTATCTTCTTTTTTTAACTCTTTTTTTCTAGTCCTAGATCTTGAATTCAGGGCCTAGGCTCTGTCTCTGAACCTCTCTGTGCTCAAGGCTAGTGCTCTACGACTTGAGCCACAGCACCACTTCTGGCTTTTTTTTTGTCCATCGTGGGGCTTGAACTCTGGACCTGGGTGCTGTCCTTCAGCTCTTCAGCTCAAGGCAGCGCTCTACCACTTGAGACACAGCACCACTTGTGGTTTTCTGATGGCTTATTGGAGATGAGAGTCTCACGGACTTTCCTGCCTGGGCTGGCTTTGAACTGCAATCCTCAGATCTCAGCTTCCTGAGTATCTAGGATTACAGGTGTGAGCTACCAGCACCTGGGCTTTACTTCTGGCATGCATTCTAGGCAAGCACTCTACCACTAAGTCACATTCTCAGCCCCTATTTGTATATCCTGAAGTGAACATTTTAACAGCTGTACTCTACAAATTGTTGGAAAAGTCGGCGCCACATTTTTAGATTGATGACTATGTCCATCTCTATTTCTTTTAATAACCTCAATATTGAAGGTTTTAGTTTTATTGATGTATTCAAAATCAAGGCTTTTATGTGATCTTTAGAGAAAGGTACGTTACTAAAGTTTTGCCTCTCTGAAAAAAAATTTTAAACTGTATTCACTTACATAGCAATTGTAACTACAAAAAATTTTCTTTAGGAATATATAAAAGTATATATACAAGTTTCTTTGTTTTACAGTATTATTACAAAAGTAAAAATTAGAAACTAACAAATGTCTTTCAGTAAAGATTGGTCAAATAGAATTATTCCCAGACATAATTGCAAGATTGTAAGTTTTATCACATTTGTTACCTAACCAAAACTAATACACATCATTAGTCTTTTTTTCCCTACTTCTTTTTCAAGTTACAATTATAACATACATTTATACCATACAAATACAAGCATGGCATGTCTCTGAACATCAGTGTTCCATTTAGTACCTTTTCACTTTGTCACTGATGTTAAATATTGACTAGCTAAATAGATACTAATTATTGATTTTTAAGATGAAGAGTAATTTTAATCTATTTGTTGTAGTTACTCCATGGATTCCTTTGGGCAACTCAGACCACAAGATAACCAGTCAGTAGTCAGCAGAATGCAAAAGAAATATTGGAAAACAAAACAGGTCTTTATCAAAGCAACAGGAAAAAAAGAGGATGAGCATGTGGTTGCATCCGATGCTGAACTGGATGCTAAACTTGAGGTAAGTTTGAAAATTCTGTGTCCACGAACTGGTTGTTCTTTTGTACAGGGGAGACTATAATAAGCTTTTACATCAACAATTGTAGATAAAGGCATGATCACAGAATCTTTATTTTCAGCTCTCAATCAGAGCTTCTAGAGAAGAGGTCACAATTCTCACAACTGAAAAAAATCACAGAACTGGTAATATGATTAGATATCTAATAAACTAGGGTAATTTCTCTAGGACATGTAGTTTTAAAGCTAAATACTAGTGAAGTAATTGAAATAATATACTCATTATTATATTGCTTCTGTTCACTCATTCATTCTTGTCGTGCTGAGGCTCAAACCCAGGGCCCAATGCTTTTAGGCAAATGCTTAACCACTGAGCTACATCCCCAGCCCTTTGGAGTTTTTGTTGTTGTGTTTTGTTTGGTTTTGTATAGGCTGTACCACAAACCCAGCTTGTGTCTGTTATTAAGAGAAAATATTATTGAGGAACTTTTTTCTATATCGTGGGACTTGAACTTAGGGCCTGGGCACTGTCTCTGAGCTTTTTGTGTTCAAGGCTAGTGCTCTACCACTTTGAGCCATAGCATCACTTCCATTACTGAGGAATTTTAAATAAAAGGAATAACTGCCCTGAAGCAATTTAAAACCTACAAACATTTATACTGCTAACTTAAAGACAATCTCATGTAAATTAATGAAAAATACTGAAATTTTAAATGCAGATTTACGCATACCACACACATATTAACTCTTAGACATATTTTCAAGGAGGAGTTCTGTTATGATTAGAATCTAATCATTATGTTGGGATTCTTAAAACAATAGAGCCAATTAAATATTTCTTGGTTTACTAAGTATTTTCATTTTTCCAAATGTGAATAAACCTATGTCACTCCTGTAACAAAATATGGAAATAAGCCAAGCACTGGTAGGTCACACCTATAATCCTGGCTATTACGGATGCTGAGATCTGAGGATTATGGTTCAAAGCCAGCTCTGAGAGACCGTTATCTCCAATTAACAAAAAGCCAGAAGTGAGGTGTGGTTCACATGGTAGAACATCAGCCTTGAGTCCAAAAGTCAAGCAAGAGTGTAAGGCCCTGAGTTCAAGCACCAGTACTAGCACCAAATGGGGGTGGGCAGGAAGAAATAGATAACAAGTTAACAAAGCTTTGTTGTTTGTGTTGAAAAGTATTTCTCTTATGATTCAGTAGTAAATGTAGAAAAGTGACTAGTAATATCAGTTATTTTAACACTAAGACAACTTGTCACCATTTCACAGATATTATTTATATTGTCAGATAATCTATAGGTGACATACTTTATATTTATTGTAAATTTGTCCAATAAACAAATTTTGGGAATAAAACATGAATTTTCTCCCATATTTGTATTATTTTTAAACTGTAGAAATATTTTCATTGTATAAATAAAAACTGTAGTAAGTCCTGCAATACTTATGGGGAAAAAAACCATAATCACTTCATCCTAATTTTTTACATTCTTTTAAATTATTTTCTTCCATAAACACTGTGTGTCATATATGTTGTCAAATGTAATCTACTTTTTTGTTTGTTGTTTGCTTTTTAAATTCACTTTGGGGTAATAGTTTTGTCCAAGGTTTTGGATGAGCAGCACTTTAAAACAAATTGGCTTGGTGTTTTTAAGTTAATCATATGCTTAATAAATATGTGTTTTTTGCATTCAAAAAAATTGTGTGTGTGTGTGCATGCATGCATGCATGTGTGTGTGTGTGAAAAGAGAGAGATCAAGCCAGTACTGGGGCTTTAACTCAGGACCTTGTGCTTATTCTTGCTTGGCTTTTTTACTCAAGGCTGGCTCTCACGAGTCACACCTCCTCTTTGAGCTTTTTTGCTGGTTCTCTCTTTTTGGCTCAGACTGTGATTCTCTTCCCTACACCTTCCTTGGGTGGGATTACAGGTATGAGCCACTTTAGGATTCTTGATAATATTGGAAAATAATTTTTGATAATCATTGAGTTAATATTATACATTGTCAAGGTCTTTTAAACAATGAGGCTGGGGGAGGGGAAAAACAATGAGGCTGCATGCTAAAAAATCTATGCTACTTTATCTGGGAAAACTTTTAAGTTTATGTGTAAAATTATGTGTATAATGTTTTTGTCTCTAACTTTCATGTGCTTAATTTTGAAATGAGAGTCTACTGTGTATTTTCTGTTATCATTTAGCAACCATTGTAAGAATTAAAAAGCAATTTTTTTATTTTAACTTATAGTTTAACTGGTTAATAAAAACATGAAATTTAACCAGACAAGGATGGCTTAGGCCTGTAATCCTAGCAACTCGGGAGGCAAAGATCCAAATATCAAAGTTCAAAGCTAGCCTGGGCAGAAAAGTCCACAAGACCCCATGTACAAACTAGCAAAAAGTTGGGCTGGACCTATTGCTTAAGTGATAGAACATCAGCTGAACAAGCAGTGAGAAGTGCCCTTGACTTCAAAACCTAGTATCAAAACTTACAATAAAAGCTGAACTTATTAGTGGGGCACTATGTAATCTTCGACATGTTTAATACAGAATCAGGTTGAACATATCTTTTCAAACATTCATCATTTCTTTAGGGTGAATATTTCAGAAATCCTTTCTCTGGCTTTTTCAATCCTGTAGTACATTATAGTTATCTATATTCATACTGTATAATAGAATACCAAAATTTTAAATGTATTTTTATAGTAAATCTAATGTTTTGCTTGGAAGATGTCAGAAAAAGTCAGACTCAGAGTTAATACACTTTGTAATACTGTCTTCTTTTTTCAGCTGCAGCTGGTAGTATTTGATCTAGTTTATATTAGATACACCTTTTTGTTGTTTAGTTTGTTGTCGAGTTTAGAACATATTCTACAGGTATTTTTAATGGTCGTGGGGCTTGAACTTGGTGCTTGGGTACTGTCCCAAATCTTTTTGTCAAGGCTAGCGCTCTACCATTTTGAGCCACAGCACCACTTTAGATTTGCTGGTGGCTAATGGGAGACAAGAGTCGCCTGGACTTTCCTGCCCAAGCTGGCTTTGAACCATGATCCTCAGATCTCAGCCTCCTGAATAACTAGGATTATGGGCGTAAGCTACCAGTGCCTAGCTTATTCCACAGATTTATCTCATGTTTTTATTACTATTTTTTCCAACTCTTTTACAGAAAATTTAAATGTGCTGTGTACATTAGAAGTAAAACAAAAACTGTCAAAACAGGAAGAGTAGATATAACGCTTAAAAAGTAAATGCATAGGGGGCTAGGAAGGTGGCTCAGTGGTAGAGTGCCTGCCTTGCATGCATGAGGCCCTGGGTTCGATTCCTCAGCACCACATAAGCAAAAAGAAAAAAGCCGGAAGTGGCGCTGTGGCTCAAGTGGTAGAGCACTAGCCTTGAGCTGAAGAGCTGAGGGACAGCACCCAGGCCCAGAGTTCAAGCCCCACGACTAGACCCCCGCCCCCCCCAAAAAAAGGAGACACATAGGGCTGGGTCCCAGTGGCTCATGCCTGTAATCCCAGTTACTCAGGAGGCTGAGATCTGAGGATCGTGGTTCAAAGACAGCCCGGGCAGGAAAGTCCGTGAGACTCTTATCTCCAATAAACCACTAGAAAACTGGAAGTGGCGCTGTGGCTCTAGCGGTAGAGCACTCGCCTTGAGCTGAAGAGTGCAGGAACAGCGCCCAAGCCCAGAGTTCAAGCCCCACAACTGACAAAAAAAAGGAGACACATATATACTTACAAGAAATATTTCACAGCCCAGGAAAACTTAATATTTATAAATAGATACTTGCAAGAAAATGTTCTGGTTTATAATTACCTGTAAATTATATGTATCATTCTTTAAATTGTTCTGATAAAATTTATTTTTCAAGGTTTTTCATGCCATTCAAGAAACATGCACAGAACTTCTGAAGATAGTGGAGAAATATCAGCTGAGACTCAATGGTATGACATTTAGTACCTGATGACTCCAATATAATGGGAAAGTAGCAGTATATTAAACTATATTATGAGTAGTTTTATGGCAAAATATGAGTATTTATGGTGACCTGTTCTCGCATACTCCTATCTTTTCCTTTTTCAGTTCATTCAATTCTCTGACACCTATTCATTATGGTGGTGCCCTATTGTCTTGCTTAGAGTATTAAGTACATTTGCTTGTGTCACATAAAATCTCTTTCTTGGCCCCTATAGCCAACCCCCTTCCTCTGCTCCTCTGATAGAAAAATTTGACACAACAGATTTTGCAGTCTCTATTTGTCCTCCTGCTTTATCTTATACTCACTGTAGTCTGATTTTCATCTCTACCACTCCAAATTTTTTTGTGCGTGTGCCAGTCCTGATGCTTGAACTCTCAGGGTCTGGGCACTGTTCCTGAGGCTTTTGTGCTCAAGACTAGCACTGTACCACTTGAACCACACCTCCACTTCTACCTTTTGAGTAATTAACTGGGGATAAGAATCTCATGGACTTTCCTGCCCAGGCTGGCCTCCTGATACAGGGATACAGGTGTGAGCCATTGGCACCTGGCTCTATACCAGATTTCTTTTTTTTTTTTCCCCCACCAGATTTCTTCACTTTGCTGTCACACAACACACTTCCCCGGCTTTCCACTTAAACTTCATTCCTTCCTGCCTCTGCTGGATTCTTTTCTCTTCATGACCTTTTCTGTTAACTCAACCTTAGTTTCTCTTCTCTTGCTTTAAGTAAAGTGACCTAATAGATGTGGCAAGCCCTTACTGAACTATGTTGATTTCTTTCACAGCAAGCATGTCTGTATAGTGGACTCTCTTAACTTCCCTTAGCTATCTTGTGAAGGGCATCTTTTTAATGAGGTCTTCCCTGAACCCCATGTCTAAAATGCAACCACTACCTCCTTCATAACTCCCCCTATGCACTTAACAATATTCAACATTTTATAACACTGGTATATACTCTAAGGACAAAAAAATTGTCTTTTTTTATATCTGTGTCCTCCAAACTCTAAAATGTCTATTATAGTCAATATTCACTAAGGATTTACTCAATGAATGGTTTCTTTTAAAGCTGTATAAATTAACTCTTACCACTTTACAGTTAAAGCCCATGCACTGTCCCATTAAAGAAAGAAGTCTAATATGATATGATCACTCTAGTATTTTTTGTGAAACTGACAGGCCTATATTCTTTTCCTAAGAATAATAAACAAGTTTTTGTAATAAAATAAGAGATGTTACATATAGTATTGAGTTTGGTATACTAATATAACTCTGAATTCCTACAAGTGAAAAACACTTAAAATAGACCAAAGCAAGGGTTTGTAGAAATTGAATATATAGGGGAAAAGATTTTTTTTTAGTCCAAGGAACGACTTTTAAGGAATGAGAACAGCATCCGCAGAAAGAAGAGTTGGTAACTGAGTCTAATAGGGGATAAAGGAATAAAGAAAGTTTGGAGTCAAATTACTAAGCATCAAAATATTTGACCTAGCAGTAAAAGGTCACCATAACCACTAGACCAAGGGAATCCTATAGGAATGAAAATGTTAAGAAACATTGACAAGTTTGTATGCCTTGAATTTTGCCCTTAGATCAATAATCTTTTTAACATTATGAAGGGATATTCCAGAATAAAGAAAAGATTATACATATATAAACTTCACTCAATGGTTTCAGTTTGAAATTGTGTATAAATGTGTGATTTCTTGGAGACTTGCACTAATCTTTGGTTGGTAATAATAGTAGACAAACATGGTAGATTTAGACAGTAGAGTGTTTTGAGTGCTGGAAATTAAATCTAGGGCCTCCTGAATAGTAAGCATTTGTTCCTTCAGTGAGCTACCCTAGCCTCCAGTGTTCTGCATTGTTATGAGACTCACTTGGCTGGGGATGTGTCTGTAGATGTGGGAGGCAGGTTGTAGCACACATTCATCTCCTGACCTTTCTGCAGTGATAAAGGTAAGACACAGATTCAGTGATGACTTATGCTCAGGTGATACTTGATAATGAAGTATTTCAGCTTCTCAGCTTTTTTTTCTTTTTCAGAGCTGAGATCCAAACTCAGAGCCTAGTGATTTGATTGATTTCAGGGTAAAATTCAAAGCATACAAACTTGCCAATGTTTCTTAACATTTTCATTCCTATCACAGGATTCCCTTGGTCCATGGGTTGTGGTGGCCTTTTACTGCTAGGTCAAATATTTTGATGCTTAGTAATTTGACTTCAAACTTTATTCTTTTATCCCCTATTAGACTCAGTTACCAACTCTTCTTTCTGCGGATGCTGTTCTCATTCCTAAAAGGTCATTTGTTGGACTAAAAAAAATCTTTTCCATTGAATTAAATGCCCAACCCCATTTTCTCAGCTTTATGAACCATCAGAAATGATGAATATTTGTCAGGTGTCAGTGGCTCATACCTATAATCCTAGCTACTTGGGAGGCTAAGATTTGACAATCATGGTTCAAAGCCAGACTCAGCCAGAAAAATCTAAAAAACTTTTATTTCCATTTAACCAGCAAAAAGCCAGAAGTAGAGGTGATATGAGCAAAAAAGCTAAATGAGAGCATAAGGCCCTGAATTCAAGTACCCAGTACCAGCACATACACACACACACACACACACACACACACACACACACGAAAATGAGAGGGTTTTTTTCCCCTAATAGTTTCATTGAGGCATAATTTATGAAGTTCTGACTCAAAGGTAATCAAGTAATCAAAATATTAAACTAACTCCCTAGATCCAGTCCTCTCTGGTTCAGTTTGGTTATTCAGGATATGGCACAACTGTTATTGTTCTCATGAAACATGGCACTACAGAATATGTAGGCATCCTACGCCATTACGGCATCATGGAGTCACTTTGTAGACACTCAGGAGCAGCCCAACGGTGAACCAGCATATGAGGAGGGCTGAGCTCTGTTGCTACCTCAGAGAGACCCGGGTTTTTTTTCAGTTCTTAACTTTGGTTTTCTGTCAATGATGAAAAGTTAAATGAGGCCTGGAATTTGTATTCACTGTAGCTCAATTGAAACACTTCATAAAAGCCTTTTTCCCCTTCTCCATCTCACAGAAGCTACATTAGATCAGTGTTCCTGAAACTCTCTATACTCAGACCAATGTTTTGTTTTGTTGTTTTTTTTAAAAAAAAATTCTAATGTGACAGTCTGCAATAAAAATGAAATTTATAATGTTTAAAATTTTAAAATATGCCAAGAAAACTTCATTTGGTGTTTGTGTGTGTGTGTGTGTGTGTGTGTGTGTGTGTGTGTGTGTTGAGGTTGAACTCAGGGTCTTATACATGCTAAGCATGTGTTCAATCTATGGGTTGCATGTCTAGCCCCATAATTTTTATATGTTTTTTATTGTAAAGATACTGTACAGAGGGGTTACAGTTACATGAGTAAGGTAATAAGTACATTTCCTATCAACCATTGTTACCTCCTCCTTTGTTTTTCCCCTACCATCCCTTCCTTCCCCACCGCCCCAATTCCTCCTTCCCCCTCCCCTAATTTTTATTATTAGGTTTAACCTCTATGAAATACTCATGCAAATTAGTAAAGTCTCTATACTGTTTCTCTCCATTTCTTTACTTCTCACAGTTTGGTAATATATATTCTAGACTGACTTTAGTCCATGGGCCACACTAAGTAGCAGTGTACTAGAAGACAGCCTTTAGAGTTTCTATAACAGAATTTGGATATCTGGGCAGTCAGAAATATGAAAAATGAGGAATATGCATAAAAATCTAGAAGAAATAAACAAGTATAAATATAAAACAAATGCCTTGCAAAAGGCAATGATCTTAATGTAGAGCTGCACATTTGAAAATAAGCTATACTAATTTGTGTCTTTGGTTTGTTATTTGTCACTAATAACCAGTTTTCCCAAAGCAAGATCATTGATTCACTGCATCAAAGCCATCTGGAGTGCTTGTACAAAAAGCACATTGCCAGACCAATACAATCAGAACCTTTAGAAATAAAGTCTGGGAATTTTCACTTAAAAAGTCTCTTGCTGGTTGCCAGTGGCTCATACTGTAATCCTAGATACTCAGGAGGCTGAGATCTACAGATTGCAGTTCAAAGCCAGCCTTGGCAGGAAAGTCTATAAGACTCTTATCTCCAACTAACCGACAAAAAAGCTGAAAGTGGAGCTGTGGCGCAAGTGGTAGAGTGCTAGTCTTGAGCATGAAAACTTCAGGGATAGTGCCCAGGCCTTGAGTTCAAGCAGGAGGCCCATCATCCTCCCCCCCACAAAAAAAGTCTTTTTTTTTTCTCCAAATAATTCTTAGCATAGATTGCTATTGCTGTGAGAATTATTTCAGCTTCATGTGTGTAAACAAATGATGAAACAATTGTGTTTTTTTCCCTCTAGTTATGTCAGAGGAAGAAAATGAACTAGGGCTCTTTTTAAAGTTTCAAGCAGAACGTGACACAACCCAAGCTGGCAAAATGATGGATGCCACCGGCAAGGCACTCTGCTCTTCAGCCAAGCAAAGGTCTACCATAGATTTTCACCATCCTTCAATCTGTAGCCAATATGACACTTGTAGCATATGTATTTAAATGAGCATATTCTGAAAAAAAAAGTTACTAATCAGTCTAATAAAGGGTTAAAAAAGAAATATATTCTAGTATAGAATTGTTTTGATGCCTAGCTCTTAATTCACTCTTAATGTTTCTGGTTGCTTAATTCCTACAAATAGTCTTTAGGCTTGTATTTATATTTGTTGTCATTTGGTGGTACTGGGGTTTGAACTCAGAGCTTTGAGCTTCTTTACTTACTTGCTTCAGCTGGCACTCTGTCACTTGAGCCCTTCCTCTAACAGCCAGCTTTTTATTGGTTGTTTTGGAAACAGAAGACTCACTTGGATATTTCTGCCCCAAGCTGGATTTGAGACATGATTCTCCATATAGCAGTGTACTGTGTAGCTAGGATTATTGGCATGAGCCACCAGTGCCTGGCTGTATTTTTATTTCTTGAGTGGTTTAATAATATAACAAAATGACAAAAATCACTATTTAAAATATGTATATTCTACTTTTCCCTTAAAAAAAACCACCACCCTCTTTTTTTGGGGGGGGGGATCTGGTCGTGGGGCCTAAACTCTGGGCCTGGGCACTGTCCCTCAGCTCTTCAGCTCAAGGCTAGCGCTCTACCACTTGAGCCACAGCGCCACTTCCGGCTTTTTTCTTTTTGCTTATGTGGTGCTGAGGAATCGAACCCAGAGACTCAGGCATGCAAGGCAAAGCGCTCTACCACTGAGCCACCTTCCCAGCCCACCACCCTCTTTTTTAAAAGGGCTTCCTGCCTGCCAGAAAAAGGGCTGTATCTTACCCCTAGTCCTTCTTCACTTCACGTGGTCATAGTACTACCTTTGGGTATGTTGGGACTTCTTTTAAATGTAGGAGTCTTTTCTTTCTTAGTTACATAATTCCCTTCCATTTATTATTTCACCATTTTTTAGCATTAAAGTACCTGTTATAAAGAACATCCTGTAAGTAGTAATTATTAAGAATAGTCCAAATATTGCCAGGTGCTGGTGGCTTGTGCCTGTAATCCTAGCTATTCAGGAGGCTGAGATCTGAGGATCACAGTTCAAAGCCAGCCCAGGCAGAAATGAGACTCTTATCTCCAATCAAACACTGAAGGAGATGGAATTAGAGCTGTGGCTCAAGTAAGAGAGTTCTAACCAATCGAGGCCCTGAGTTGATACCCTAGGACTGGCACAAAAAAAAAAGTCCAATATTTGTATTTCAGAAAAAAAGTGAAAATAGATCTTCTCAGGCCCACGATGATGTCAAGCTTCGGTGCCTTTTTTCTGAAGCAGCATATCAGTGTAAAAGTCTTGAAAGAAGTGGGAGAGAGTTCAGTGTCACTGAGTTAGGTTTGATGTATGTTTTTCATGCTTGTGTGGTTTTTTTGTCCCCATCCTCACAGGCTAAAAATTCCATGCTCATTAGTTCTGTCATCTTACCTGTTCTTCTAAACTTATTTCTCTAAACTTGTCAAATGAAAGGTCTTATATGAACTACATTATACTTTATAAATGCAGTCCTTTGTCACCCCAAGAACTCTTTTTCTAAATGGCAGATTTACCTGCCTGTCAGGTACATGGATTAACATCTAAAGTGCTCCAAAAATTATAAATTATATATTTCCTAAAGTAAAAAAGGAGAAGGTATAAAAGGGAAAAAGTATAATAATTCAAAGTTGACTACATGAGCCTTACTTACTTTCTACATCTCCTTAGATACGTCAATAATTTCATATTTCTAGGCTCATTTTTAGAGCAAATATTTTTATAATTGGTTTGAACTTTTGTTTTAATTATGGGATGTACAACCCTCTGATTTTTACCTTTCTTCCATTAGATTGGCCTTGTGTACTCCTCTCTCTCGACTTAAGCAAGAAGTAGCAACATTTAGTCAAAGGGCTGTGTCCGACACATTGATGACAATCAATCGGATGGAACAGGCACGCACAGAATACAGAGGAGCTCTGCTGTGGATGAAAGATGTATCCCAGGAACTGGATCCAGATACCTTAAAACAAATGGAGAAGTTTAGAAAAGTAAGAAAATATATTCTTTTCCTTTCCTTGATGCATAAAATATGGAACTGATACATAATAATTTAGTGAAGAATCAAGACAATAGCTCTTTTTTTTGAGCCATTGTCTTGCTAGGTAGCCCAGCTGGCCTAGAACTCTATCCTTTTGCCTCTGCCTCTTGGCGTGTACTGGGATTACAGACATATGTAACTGCCTCTGCCGTTTTTAAATGGATATTTTAATGTTCACCTTGGTAGCACATATATTAAAAATACATATTTTACTATAAATTATTGTTTGCTTGGAGATTTTGGCACACCTTCCACCTCCCCCCCATCTCTATCTCTATCTCTTGTCCTAGAGCTTGAACTCAGTGCCTGGGCACTGAGCTACTTTTGTTCAAGGCTAGTGTTCTACCACCTGAGCCACAGCACTACTTCTGGCTTTATTAGAGTCTTGTGGTCTATTAGAGTCTTGAGAGTCTCATGGACTTTCCTACTTGGGCTAGCTTCAAACCACAATCATCAGATCTCAGTTTCCTGGGTAGCTAGGATTACAGGCATGAGCCACAAGTTCCAAACACACTTTTTTTAAAACTTTTTTTTTTTAATCAACCTTTTCCTTTTTTTTTTTTTTTAATCCCACTCGTATTAGATCTAACCACATTTTAAAGAATGTTGACCTGAACTTGTGGAAATTCTTTGCAGAAAGAAAACAGCTTACTACCAAAGGAAAATATATAATTTAAGTAAAAAGTTATATAAAAAGTTAATACTAAAAAAAAGTGAATACTGTCAAAATTTTCATTCTGTTACAATACAATTTCACTACAAACCTACTAAGCAAATATGCATAGACATGTGCTTTGCTAATAAATTACTCATTATAAATTATATCCCATAGGGCTGAGGGATAGACCCTGTGCTCAATCCCAAACCTAAAAAAAGTAATCCTCTAAATTTGACGTACATGGATATTAGAATTCATTCATTTCATAAACTCAGACCCGATAATAAAAACTCCTAATATTTGACATTGATGGAGAGCCTATACTTTATGCCAGTTAGTATAAGTGTTTGGTGTCATTGATTACTCTCAGCAGCATGTAGGTAAACATGTCTTTTTGGTTTTGGTTATTTTTATTGAATAGAGACTGGTATTTGGGGCCTGGGTTAGCCTGGACGTCAATGCTCCTTCCTATGGCCTCCTTCCTAGCTTTGATAACAAGCATGGGCCACCACATCTAGTTCATTTCATTGAAATAAAGTCTGGCTTACTTTTTGTCCCAGCAAACCTCAAACCACATTCTTTGTATACCAAGTAACTGGGAATATAGATTTGAGTCCATCTCTGATCTCATACTTTCTCAACCTACAGATAGCCTGGGAAGACTCTCCTACAATTATCAGGCATAGACAAAATCTTCATTATTAATTATAGATTATATCAATGATACAAAGAAAGAGTATTGTTATTCTTTTACAATTTTATATGTTTAGAAATCTTCATTCCAAACCTGTATTATTGAAAATAATATTAATATTTTTGTGATTGCAGGTACAGATCCAAGTGAGAAATAGTAAAGGTTCTTTTGACAAGTTAAAAATGGATGTTTGTCAGAAAGTGGATTTACTTGGAGCTAGTCGCTGCAATATGTTATCTCATTCCCTCACTACCTACCAGGTACCAACCTCCATGGTCAGCATGCCCTTGCAGTAAAGATGAGTGGTGAGATTCCTTTTTAAAAGTTGTCTAGACGGTGAAAACAACTCATACAATCCTTTCATTGGCATGTCAAGGTTGTCACATATAGACAATTATAAAAATCTAAACTAAAAGGACGTTACAGAGATTGTCTATTCCTGTAGTGTCAGGTTAGTCTTCGTGTCGAGAGAGAGAGAGAGAGAGAGAGAGAGAGAGAGGAGAGAGGAGATAGAAAGGAGAAGAGAGAGAGAGAGAGAGAGAGAGAGAGAGACCTAGAAACTCTCTGGTTTGAAAAGAGAAATGCTGAGGAAGCCAAATTCAAGTTCCATTAGCCTGGATTTTTACTGGAGAGCTGAGCTTCTGGTTTGAACTACATAGTTTCATCTGAAGCAAAGAAACAATGGTTTGAAAAGGTTGGAAACTTTTCTTGTCATTTTATAGATGACAATTCAAGTGAATGGCAATGTGGGGCTTAAAAACCTGTTTTCTAATTCTAGGTCATGGGTTCTTTTCATTCTGCCCAGTCACCATCCTACATCACTTGAGCTCAGAAGCCTCCCTGTGCTTACATTACCTCAAACCATACAGAAATAATTATAATGAGTAAGTTAGCAGTTAACAAATAGCAGCTACTGAATTCAACATGTATTTACAAATAGCAAGATAACACAAACTGTATTTGCTTAAGAAAATAATAAAATGGCTCTTTGTGCTATTTTAAAGGAATTTACCTAATACTGTGGATTCAGGAGTCAAGAAGGGATGTACATGAAAATAAAAGCAGATGACCATCCATGTAGAATAACTCCTTACACAAACAGCTGATAATTCTGTCCTCCTTTGTTCTCTCTACTCATACCTCTCTCTTTGACTAGGAACCCTGAAACAACAAGGAAGATGGCCAATTACTTGAGTACATTTGGGGGGGGGGTTGGTCATGGGGCCTGAACTCTGGGCCTGGGTGCTGTCCTTCAGCCCTTCAGCTCAAGGCTAGCACTCTACCACTTGAGCCACAGCGCCACTTCCAACTTTTTTCTTTTTGCTTATGTGGTGCTGAGGAATCGAACCCAGGGCCTCATGCATGCAAGGCAAGCGCTCTACCACTGAGCCACCTTTCCAGCCTCTTGAGTACATTTTTGTGCTCTCAAGTGGAAGCATATATAAACATCTTATTATTCTTCAATAACAAGATGTTTACATATGCTTGCCAACATGAAGATTATACATTTACATTTATTCCTCTTTCTATAGAAATTAGTATTTCCATACTTTTAACCTTTTCTTTTAGACTGTTTAAGTGTTCCAGTCTATAAGTTTTTTGTTGTTGTTGTTTGGTTGGGTTTTTTTGGTGCTGGTCCTAGGGCTTGAACTCAGGGCCTGGGTGCTGTTCCTGAGCTTCTTTTGCTCAAGGCTAGTGCTCTACCACTTGAACCAAAGCCTCACTTCCAGATTTTTTGGTAGTTTAGTGGAGATAAAGAATCTCTACAGATTTTCCTGCCTGGGCTGGATTCAAACCATGATCCTCAGATCTCAGCCTCATGAGTATCTAGGATTGCAGGCATGAGCCACTGGCACTTGGTTGGGTTTGCTTTCTTTTAGCTGCATAGGTGATGGGTGCACATACATGAATACACAGATGTTGGTGTTTAAACTCAGGGCTTCAATGTGCTAGGCAGACCCTTTGCCACTGAGACAGGTCGATAGCTCACTTTTTGCACTGGTTATAGAGACAAAAGTCTTGCTTTTTTGTGTGAGCCTACTGTTTGGACCACAATCCTTTTTTATGCTTTCCATAGTAGCTGGGATAGCATTTGCACCCCCACTATACCCAGCAGTTGACTGAGGATGTTTGCCTGAACCCCATCTCAACCTCCCGAGTAGCTAGATTACAGGCAAGGCCCACTCACTTGACTACAGGGACTATTTTTTATTCAGAATTATGATTTACAGCTCTTTCTGGTTCTCCAAACTTGAACAACTGAATTTAGTTCTTGCTGCTTCTACTGCATCAATAAGGAAATGCAGCACTGAACAAAGGAGGAAAGAAGAACTGAAGTGTCACCTTTTTTATCTACAGAGAACATTGCTTGGATTCTGGGAGAAAACAGCTCGAATGATGTCCCAAATCCATGAGGCCTGTACTGGCTTTCATCCCTATGATTTCGTAGCTCTCAAGGTACATTTTTCTTGTTCCTTGTTAACATTTCATTTGGGTAATAACACTGAAACTTTTTTCTAAGCTTAATTTGAAATTTATAAAAAAAAATTGGGCTATGTTTTCTGCACTCCGTCTGATAAGATGGATTAGCACTTCCGTGGTTCCAAATGATGGCAGCAACACTGAAACACAAGGGAGTACAGCAATAGGTTGAAGGTAATGTGTAAGGTGGAGAAAAATGAAAATAAAAATTCAAAGAGATAAGAAAAGACTATGGAACTAACATGTCGAATTGAGAACTCCTTAATGTACAAGATGCATTATGGAAATGTGACCGAATGCTTGGCTATTCTAAACAATGGCCAGATTACTTACATGACAGTTTTAGAACTGTAAGACACATTTCCTGTATTCACACTGATCTGTCAGATATGGCTGATGATAAAAATTAAGCTCACGACTTAGGTTTGATAACAGCTAAAGAGAAAAACATGCTTCATTAGTTCTCTCTGTAACAGAGTATCCTCTGGCCAGGAATGCAGTGCTTTTAACTTGTATATCTTCAGTCACATCATTTGCACTGCCTTACTCATGTGATAGTCATTTCTTCAATTCTAATAGACTATGTTGCAGTACCTTTCATCTTACCATTCTGCCCTGTTTTCAGTAAAGCTTAGAATTTTTTTTTTGACGGCTGGGCACCAGTGATTCACGCCTATAATCCTAGCTACTCAGGAGGCTGAGATCTGAAGATCATAATCCAAAGCCAGCTCAGGCAGGAAAGTCCATGAGACTATCTACAGTTAACCACCAGAAAACCAGAAGTGGTGCTATGGCAAGTGGTAGAGCGCTCACTTTGAGCTGAAGAGCTGAGGGACAGCACCCAGGCCCAGATTTTAAGCCCCACGACTGACACACACACACACATACACACACACAATCTGAGATTCTTGCTGGATTCATATCAGCCACAGGCTCATACCTTGCCACTGAGATGATTTCTAAGGTCAGGTTCTGACATAACATCTTTCAACCCCAAAGATGCCTTGAATTAGACTGGGTTTTTACATTTTTATGTAAACTTATTTTTTAATTTCTATAATAAATGCTTCCTTGAATAGCACTTGGTATATTTAGACAAATTTTATGCCTAATGTCTACTCAGAAATGATGCTGAAAATCTTTAGCTATGTTTGGAGCATTGCAACACAGTTGAAGTGGACCTGTCAGAACATTGTTTAACCAACCTGTCACTAGCCCACATCACAGTATGTGTGGTTCCTACAGGCAACCAGGATAAACTACATTAGCATACACTCCCCACATGGGAATAGTTCCAAATTATCCCTATTTTATATTGTTCTTTAGCAATGTATTTCTCATTTTGTTTTCAAAGAGAGAAACAGAGTCTTTGCATCTATTTAACATTGAATTTTTTTATCCTTAGAGATTACAAGACACTCCAAGCAAGCTTACTGAAGATCACAAAGAAGGACAAATAGAAGACAATGTTCTTACTGAAAACCTCAATAAGTAAGCAGGCAGAAGCTATGCTGTGCAAGTCCTGGATATCATTTTGTGACTTCATGTAGAATTATTTTTTCTCTGATGCATTGAATGCTTTCTTCCATGTCATTTTTTCTAGTACCCTTAGACATTTGTTTTGGAGTTGTTTTTTTAATTCAAGTTTTACTATGGCAGGTAAAGAGTGACAGGAGTACTAAATGAATTTGGGTTATTATTCCAGATTCTGACATTTGGAAGGTTGAGCCTTCTAGTAAGAGCCAGGAGTACCTCTGGTCATGCCTAAAGGGGTCAGCGGCTGTTACAAATCCACCTCTAAACCGCACAGATGAAGCTAGGCCTGGTTACCTGACAAGTTTACATACCTCGCTATGTATGACATGTTGCCTATTTCTCTTTTATTGCATATTTTCTTTGTTTCCCTTCCAGAGCTGCTGCTTAATCCTCATTTTGACTAAATTGACTAAAATAACAAACTAAAAAATAAGGACCAAAATGATCCTAAATAGAAAGCATTTCCCATTTTCTCTGTGGGAAATCAAAATCAAAATATTGGCTAACTGGAATATATAAATGTTTTGGGATCAACAGTGTGTGTGTGTGTGTGTGTGTGTGCGTGTGTGTGTTGGTGTGTGTGTTGGTACTGGGGCTTGAACCAAGGGCCTTGTGCTCTGAGCTTTGCTCTTTTCCTTGCACTTTACTACTTGAGCCAGACCTCCAGTGTTGCATTTTGCTAATTGGAAATGGAGTCTCAGAGAGATTTTTTCAGTTTGCACTAGCATTAATACAAGTCTTAGACTCCTGAATAGATAGAATTATAAGTATGAGTGCCACTGGAGCCCAGCTAGGACCAACAATTATCAAGTATTAGTTATAAATTAAACCTTAACTATATATTGGCATTTTGATTCATACCTAAAATGGAATGTTTATTTTTTCGATTCTCATATCTCATAGAAGTTATTTTTTCAAAATCTTTCCACGATTCTTTAACATTACAAGAGCTACTTTTTGAGCTAACAGATTCCCAAGCACTTCATCCCCTCTTCAATACAGTCATTTAAAAACCAAATACATATATTGTCATTGGAAATTTTATCCCAAATCATAACTATCTATTTGTCTAATAGATTTTTCTTGTAGTATTTGTTAAAAATCAACATCCTATTGCTTTTACATGTCTTCAAAGGCCTAATAGAAACAACCTTGACTAAATCTGTTTAGTTTTTTACCTGACCTTTTGGTTATTACATGGATGCTATAAATCAGCTATTAGATGGATGCTATAAATCTCCAAAATTAGTATTGATTGATGATATTCTAAACTAATATGTCTTCTTTTAGAAACATGAGTTTAGAATAGAATGCCTCACTTCTACAGGGATGTTCTTGTATTTAGTTGTTAAGTAAAACCATTCAATGCTTGAAAATGAAACTTCATATTCTATGGCTTTGATTCTCTAAATTGTAGTACAAGTTAAATTTCCTTTATGTTAGAGGTGTCAGATTTTGGATTAAAAAAAAACTGGAATAGTCACATCTACATAAATGAGTAATCTTGGGGATAGGACCAAAGTCTAAAATGAAATTCACTTATGTTTTACAAACATCCTATACACATAGCCTGAGGTAATTCTGTACAATACTGTAATAATTTTGTGCAAGAAACAAAGTTTCGGCCAGGCGCTGGTGGCTCACGCCTGTAATGCTAGCTACTCAGGAGGCTGAGCAGGAGAGACTGTGAGACTCCTATCTCCAATAAACCACCAGAAAACCGGAAGTGGTGCTGTGGCTCAAGTGGTAGAGCACTCGCTTTGAGCTGAAGAGCTGAGGGACAGCGCCTAGGCCCAGAGTTCAAGCCCCACGACCGACAAAAAAAAAAAAAAAAAAAAGAAACAAAGTTTCTTGGTGTAGATTTTTTTCCCCTTTGGTATCATGTCAGTGCTTGAAACATTATAGATTTCAGAGCCTTTTGATTTGTTTGGTTTTTATTTTGGGTCCAGTCATGGGGCCTGAACTCTGGACCTGGGCGCTGTCCCTCAGCTCTTCAGCTCAAGGCTAGCGCTCTACCACTTGAGCCACAGCGCCACTTCTGGATTTTTTCTTTTTGCTTATGTGGTGCTGATGAATTGAACCCAGGGCCTCTGGCATGCAAAGCATGTGCTCTACCACTGAGCCACCTTCCCAGCCCCTCAGAGCCTTTTGAATTGGGGATATTCAACCTTACATTTAGCACACTGCCTACAAATGCTGCTGTTACAATGGAGATACTTAGTAAATGTTGAATATGGGTAGACTTTTTGGTTTGTATAGATCTATAAAAGTAAGAAATTCTCCCAATGATAGATTTTTGGGAGATCTACTAGACAAATATTTTATATATCCTCCCCCTTTTGGGGAGGGGGGCTTGTCCCTGGGCTCTTTTTGCTTAAGACTAGCCTCTACCACTTGAGCCACAGTGCCACTTCTGGCTTTCTCTGTGATTAATTGGAGATAAGAGTCTCATGGGAGGGCTTCAAACCATGATCCGTAACTCTCAGCCTCCTAAGGAGCTAGGATTACAGAGCCCACCAATGCTGGGCTCTAAGTTACATTTTTAACTATATAAACTCTTTGGGGACTATGAACACCAAATGTATTTTAACCAGAATCTATGCATTATCTTGCTTTCACTTCAGGGTAGGTTTGTCTGAAGAAGCAAGCTTCAGGAGAGAGTCAGGTAAGATGTAGATTTGTTATCTTGAAATGGTCACATTTTCAATTGCCAAAAGTTTATCATACCTTTTAAAAAAAGGTTTTGCTAATATTCATTAATAATAATAAATAAAATTCTATAAGTCCATTCTATACACATCAAATTATCTTTTTTTTTTTGTCAGTCGTGACTTTAGGACTTTTTACTATTTTAACACTAGGTGGTGCAGTAATCTAGGTTTGCTGTATTCCTGTTGTTTACACATTAAAGGTTGCCCTCCTCTGTTCACTGCTATTTAAGTATCCCATAGATTATGCCATCAAATATTTGTATTTCAGAAAGGTGAAAGAGCCTTTGTGTTTTGGTTTAATTTTTAAATCATTTCATCCTTCATGCATTCCAATCAAAGAATTCAATTATATATCTTTCTCCTTTAAGAATTCACTGAGCTCCCTGATAAGTGGATGCTAAATCCAAAATATTAGGTGATATGACAAAACTAACAGGACTTAAGAAACAAAGAACTCCCACTCATCTGGTTGAACCACTAAATATCCCCATGCTGCTGATCACATATATGGTATATAACATGTGAGCACCGTTATATATTACAGACTGTGATAGACAATTTGCTCCAGGAAAGTTAGAATGAACTTGTGACTTTAAATGAGCATCATTATTCCACAATACTGTGAATTTCCGGAAATTATGTAATCACTTAATCACAATCAAAAAAAAAAAAAAGAACCTCGGGGAAGGGAGGGAGGGAGGGGATGGTAGAGGGAAAACAATGGAGGGGGTAACAATGTTCAAGAGGAAGTGTACTCATTACCTCACTCATGTAACTGTAACCCTCTGTATAGTATCTTTACAATAAAAAAAAAAAAAGAATTCACTGAGGAAGTGGTGCTGTGGCTCAAGTGATAGAGCACTAGCTTTGAGCACAAATTGCTCAGGGACATCACCCAGGCCAGCAAAAAAAAAAAAAAAAATTCAGTGAAATTTTTTATGCTAATATAAAGAATTTTAGTGATTTCCACATGTGTAAGGTCCATTCCTAGTATTAGGTTATGTATATTCAGGATAAATACCTTATTAATTATGCTGCTCAAAGCTCTTAAATCTTTCTTTAATCATCTTTATCCCCTTCACTTTTTTTCTTTTTTACCAAACATGGTATATTAAACAAACATGACATATTACCAAACATGGTATATAGTGTTACTGTTCTTATTTCTCCATGCATCTTTTGCCATTTGCCTTACATAGGTGGTAGCTTAATTATTTCAAATATTTATAACTGTCCTTTGTTATATCCTCATTGTGAAAATGTGACCATTTTGATCTAAATCTTGCCCACTTAGGAATAATTGTCACATTAACTTCCAACCAATTTATTTGCTGGTAAAAGTTCTTTGGTACTGTAAAAGAACAATGAAACTAATTTATCATGTGTCTTACTCTCATTTCTTCAAAAAGAATAGCCTTTCTGCTTTTATTTTCAATCAGCAGCAGCAAAAGATGTACCTTCAGATTCACTGGAAAGAGAAGATTTTGAGAAGGAATTCTCATTTCTGAATAGCCTTCTAAGCCCTGCTTGTTCCAGCACTAGTGAATCTACCCAAGAATGCCAGACTTCTTGTGGGAGCGCCAGTGCTGGTGTCACGCCCCAGGAGGCTTCTGTGGGGTCCGAGCCTCTTGCTCATTCCTCTGGATTCCTCCCCTCACAACTCTTTGACCTTGGCCTTCATGCTGCTGGAGCTTTCAACAGTAAGTATCTATCAACCATTTGTACACACGTGCCTCATTATACCTTTGAAAACAAAAATAGTATGCTTGTTGATGCTAGAACCAACAAGGAGCTTGATTTTTTTTCTTTTTTTCTTTTTTGGTTGGTCCTGGGGCTTGAACTCTGGGCACTGTCCCTCAGCTCTTCAGCTCAAGGCAAGCACTCTACCACTTGAGCCATAGCACCACTTCCGGTTTTCTGAGTGGTTAGCTGGCAATAAGAGTCTCAGGGACTTTCCTGCCCATGCTGGCTTTGAACTGTGATCCTCAGATCTCAGCCTCTTGAGTAGCTAGGATTGCAGGCGCGAGCCATCAGTACCCGGCTTAAGGAGGTTGATTTTTTTTTAACTGGATAAAATCAGCACTCACCACCAATGAACTGCAAAAATACCAAATCTAATCACACTGGATATATGTTAAGGAATCTGAAATGACCTATGTTTCCTTGCCATTTCCACCAGACTTACATGCTCTTAGATACTGACTTTCTTTCCTAGGTTGTTTAGTTTGCCATACTTGACCTGATAAGTTACCCTCCCAATAGGAGATCCATTTCTTTCATTAAACAAAATTTGGTGTGTTTTCATTCTGTGAGTTCAGCGTTAACAAGAAAAAGGGACAGCTTGAGTAGCTGGGTCCAGGCAGCCTTCTGGGTAAAACAGCAGGAGTGGAGGACACAGAGGCAAGCTGGGAAGAGGTATTCCTGAAGGAACACCCACCTCAGTGTACTATCCTGTTTCCAGCTCTGCACCTTGGGAGTCATTTTGCTCCTCATGTCCATATTCGTTACCAAGTCATGTCTATTCTGTTTCTGAAACTGCTTCACAACTAGAGCCATTTAGAGCCTCCCTTGGCTTCGTTTTGCTGCAATATAGCTCCTAACAAGTCTTTAGCTCCAAGTTCCTCCTCCACACTTCCTCCAAGAAGCAGATTCTGAGGTTAGCACCCTGCTTTTAAAAACTGAAGCACACATGGTTTCAGGATAAAACCTGCATTCCAATGTTTATCTCCTACCTTACCTTCAGAATATTTGCTGTTTCTGTCACCCCATTCAGTATCTCCAGATCCCTTAGAGGCACCTTTCTGTTGCTGTTCAGTAATGGAGGATGGATGTAAACCTTAGCACAGGATTCCCAATGAAAGCTTTCTCCATGATGGCCAGTCCTTGAATTGCTTCTTAGTACTAACAGATGGCCTTCCAAAGTGTGTTACTTGTATCTGTTTTTATAGCTGTAGTCAGTTTATCTTCCCTTAAACAGGTCTCTCATCTCCCAGATTTTATTATTTAAAAAAACCTTCAAAAAATAAACCATTCACACCTGTATCAGCATCTTAACATGCTGTACTTTGCATTAAAATACTATATTATGCTATATCACAAGGGCATGATTTGTAGGGATTTGTCTTGTATATTCTGTGACAGAAGCATGAAGTTCCCTCAATAAAATACCAGTTAAATAACCATTTGGTAAGAGTTTATTGACTAGCCTAAAAGAATGGACAGGATTACTTGACACAGAAGCACTCTATCTAAGGATAACTGTGGTGCCTTCCTATGGCAGGGTTTTTCCGGGCACATCAATGGCCTGGTAGGTCTAATGATTTGTAAACCAATCGCTTTTCCATCATGTGTTCTAACTCTTCTACCCCCTATTTTTACGAGTCTCTCACAGCTTGATTCTTCTTCTAGTTGATACAATATCAACAATCACTTTCACTACTGAAAACAATTGGTCCCAGCTTGAAAACAAACAAGATATTCCCATCTACTAGACAAGTTAAAACTCAGTGTTTATGTGACTCATCTGAGGTCATGGGGCAGTGTAAACAATAAAGGGAGCAGAACCTGCTCCCCTGCACCTCATGCAGGATTCCACTATTTTTTGTTGTTGGTGGTAGTCATGGGTCTTGAACTCAGAGTTTGGGTGTTATCTCTGAGCTCTTTCACTCGAAGCTACATTCTACCACTTTTAGCCACTGCTCTAGTTCCAGCTTTCTGGTGATTAATTGGAAACAAGAGTCTCACAGACTTTCCTGCCCACGCTGGCTTTGAACCATAATCCCCATACCTCAGTCTCTTGAGTAACTAAGATTATAGATATAACCACCAGTGCCCTGCTCCATTTCACTATTCTTATGTCCACTTTCTTTTCTCCTGCTAATGAGGCTGGACAGCGAGCTAGCTACCTTAAGAGTAAAAAGACAAATGTTTTAGAAACCTCAAGGTCTTAGTCTACTTTATGTAATGTACCATAAGATTGGGTATTTATAAATAGGTTCTGCTGGCAGTTCTGAAGGCTGAAAAGTCTAAGGGCATAATACCAGAATGTAGCACATCATCTCAGGGCTCAAGTGAGTGCTTAAGACAAGATGGGGCCAGATTTACCCTTTCTATCCAGAACACACCCTGTGACTACTAATCCTTCCAGGATAATGGCAGTAATCCATTCACAAAGGCCAAAGTCCTCAGGACTTGCCTTTAAGGTTCTTCATACCATCATGACAACCATATTTCAATATAAGTTTGAAGGGGGACAGTCAAAATATAGCATGCTATCTATGTGTGTGTGCATGTGCACGCGTGCACGCGCGTGTATATGTGTGTGTGTATTCTGAAGGTACTGGAGTCTGAACTCAGGGCTTCATGCTAGCTAGCTAGATGATCTACCTTCTCCATTTTCAATTTTCTTTTCTTTCTTTTTTTTTTTTTGTCGGTCGGTCGTGGGGCTTGAACTCTGGGCCTGGGCGCTGTCCCTGTGCTCTTCAGCTCAAGGCTAGCACTCTACCTCTTCAGCCACAGCGCCACTTCCGGTTTTCTGGTGGTTTATTGGAGATCAGAGTCTCATGGACTTTTCTGCCTGGGCTGGCTTTGAAGCATTATCCTCAGATCTCAGCCTCCTGAGTAGCTAGGATTATAGGAGTGAGCCACTGGTGCCCAGCCATTTTCAATTTTCTTAAAAATTATATATAATGTATATCATGTATGTGAGGCATAGTCTAAATATTATATACTTACATATTTGTTATTTATATTATTAAATGTTAATATTTGTTAACTATATAAATATTAAATATATATTGCATTATGAGTATTTTTACGGGTTCTTAACTCTTCACAGTGAAGAAAAACTGTGAATTATCAAAATATACCCAGTTCTGGACACTAATCTGCTTCATTTTGTGTTAAGATTTGTGGATACACCATTTGGAATTGAAGTCTTTCTTTAATATTTTTCAAAATGACTTTGAAAACTATAAGGATTTCCAACCAACACTATCTGGTACTAAAATTAGATGATTGGTTAAATACCTAATTCCAGATGTTTTTCCCCCCTTTCATGGGGGGGGGGAGGAGAAGGGAGCGGGGATTTCAACTCAGGGCCTCACTCTCAAAAGGCAGGCTATATACCTGGGAGCCAGGCTCCCAGCCCTGTTTGGTTTTGTTGTTGTTGTTGTTTGCTTTTTTCAGTGGTCCTGCTTCTTACCAAGACATGTGCCTGAGCTGTGATGTACCTAATTTTAGGCTTCTTGTTACAGTTAAGATAACAGGTGTTGCCATCAAGTCAGTTCCTGGTTAAGAAGGGGTTTCATGAACTTTTCTGCTCAGTTGCCTTGAATAGTGATTCTGTCAAGTAACTGGGATTACATGCTTGTATCAGTGGTGCCAAGATAGTTTTTAGTTTTTTATCCTATTTTACTATAAAATCTTAGCCTATCACAGACCAGAGGACTTAGCTATTTTTATGTTTTCTTTTTTTGATGCTTTTTCCTGTACCCTACTTAATTAACAAAATTCTTTTCTCCCTTCCCTCCAGACTGGGCCTCCCAAGAGGAATCAGAGCACACTGATAACCTACCAGTGCCTTCACAGAGTCCAAAAAAATTAACACGATGTAAGTTACTTCTTTTCCATTGCATTAAGAATCAGTTGAGCTGGGTGCTGGTGGTAGTGTGTGTTAAAAGGAAAATTTTCCAGGTGTTAGTGGCTCACACCTGTAACCCTAGCTATTGAGGAGGCTGAGATCTGAACATCTTGATTTGAAGCCAGCCCAGATAGTAAAGTCCAGGAGACTCTCATCTCCAATTAAGCACCCAAAAAGCCAGAAGTGGAGCTGTGGCTTACTTGGTAAAGTGTGAGCCTTGATCAAAATTGCTTAGAGCCATGGGCTGGGAAAGTGGCTTAGTGGTAGAGTGCTTGCCTTGCATGCCTGAGGGCCTGGGTTCGATTCCTCAGTACCACATAAGCAAAAAGAAAAAAGCCGGAAGTGGTGCTGTGGCTCAAGTTGAGCTGAAGAGCTGAGGGACAGCACCCAGGCCCAGAGTTCAGGTCCCACTACCGGACCCCCCCAAAAAAAAAATTGCTCAGAGACAGCATGTAGGCCCAGGGTTCAAGCCCCAGAACTAGCACAGGAAGAAAAAAAAAAAAAGGAAAATTCTACCTGGCTATTCTTATAGAAAGCAGAGAAGAAAAACTGAATTGTCATAGAGCAGGATGTTGCATTTTGTGTTAAGATCTGTCTAGTGGATATATAATTTGGTATAGGGGGCCCCCCAACTCTTTTTAGGCCCTTTTTAAGGGCCTTGTGCCTGTTAGGCAAGTTCTCTATCACTGAGATAAAACCCTGGGTCAGATGCTTTTTGATTACAGGAAGCCTGTTAACAAAGAACATATTCAAGTAATTAAGATACCATCCTAATCGGTTGGGGATGTAAAGATTTAACCCAGGGCCTTACGTATACTAAACACTGGCTCTACCACATAGCTAGTTTTAACATTACCTGTTCAAAAGTTTGTGTTCACATAGCTGTGAAATAGATCGTTGGAATGTTTTTCATCTTGAAAATCCAAAACCCTATGCCCATTAACAACTCCCCCTTTCCCTCTCCTTAAACCCCTAGTAACCATCATTCTTTCCTTTTGAGATAAGGTCTCACCATGCTGGTCTCAAACTCATGGTTCTCCTGTCTCAGCCATTTGAGTGCTGGGGCTATGGGTGTGACTCACCATACCCCTCCATCATTATACTTTGTTTCTCTAAGTTTGATTATTTTATATAAATAGACTAGTACAATTTTTTTTCTGGTGACAGGGCATTTCATTGAGCATAGTGTCTTCAATGTTCATTCATTTGGTAGCATGTGGCAGATTTTCCTTTAAAAGGCTTGAATATTTAGTTGGATGCTGTTGGCTCAGTCCTGTAATTCTAGCTACTCAAGATGCTGAGGATTGCAGCTCAAAGCCAGCCTAGGCAGGAAAGTCCATGAGACTCTTCTCTAATTAAGCACCAGAACAGCCAGAAGTAGAGCTGTAGCTCAAGTGGTAGAGCACCAGCCTTAAGCAAAAAAGCTAAGGAAAAGTGCCCAGTCCCTGAGGTAAAGCCCTAGGACCAACATACACACATACACACACAGCCAAATAAGCTGGGCACTGGTAGGTCATGCCTGTGATCATAGCAACTCAGGAGACTGAGATCTGAGGATCAAAGCCATCCTGAGAGCAGGAAAATCTATGAGAGTCTTGTCTTCAAGAAGCAACAACCACAAAAGCTAGAAGTGGAGCTGTGGCTCAAGTGGTAGAGCACTAGCCTTGAGCAAAAAAGTTCAGGGACAGCGCCCAAGGCCTGAGGACTGGCACCAAAAAAATACATATACCACATCTGGTTGTTTTATAGATCATGATTTTCAAACAGCCTTACTGAGATAGGAAATATTCCCTCCATTGGCTGTCAATACTCTGCTATAAACAGGAGACTTCCTTTCTGCTCCAGTTATTTTGTCAGAATAGATTCCTCTCTGTTAGTGCTTTCATATATATATATATATATATATATATATATATATATATTCTGTCCAGTATTCAAACTGCTCTTATATTGGCCTATAGAAGCTCTACAAAAAGCCTACAACATTAATCGTTTTCCCCTGTGCTCCACATGTTGACTTCTTAAAATGTTACCATATTTGGTAACCATGATCACCAAACATTACTGTTTGCTTTATATTCTGTGTATCTTCTAATTGAATGTTCATATCATATACATAATTCCTATTTAACACTAGATACTTCAGTATCAGCTTCCTGAAAACAAGGTTTTGATCATTGTATGATTATGTTACATAATGATCAAGGTCAGAAAATTAGCTGCCATAGGACCACACACAGTTTGAGTACAAATCTTACTCAGTTTTGGTCACTGTTCCACTGATGTGTTTTATGCCAGAGGAGAAAAACAGCTTAGTTTTCATTTTTCCCAATCTAGGAACCAAACCAGAATTGAGCTGGCAAGTCTCTGTAGTCTCTAAGTAATCCTTAATCTTTTTTAAATAACCTTGAATGTTTTTCACTGTGCAGCAGGTCACTTATTTTGAAGACTGTCCTTCAGTAGGGTTTATCTGATTTTTTCATAATTAAATGCAGGTTGCTCATTTTGGCAGAACTAGCAGCACAGGAATGGTGCTGTACCATCTTAATCTTATCAGGTGTGTGATGTCTGTTTTGTCCCATTGCTGGTAACAGTAACTTTCACCACTAGCTTAAGGTGGTTATCTGCTACATTTTTCCACTACAAAAATGTCTACTTTTTTTCCTTTTGTTGGCTAACAGTGGTCTCATGGGAAATATTCTGAAACTCTGTACATAGCTTCTTTTGTAGTAGTATTAGGGTTTTGAATTCAGAGCCTTAATGTTGGTTAGCTTGAGCCATGCCCACCATTCCCTCCACCCCCATTTCTGTTTATGTTTTGCATTTCTGTGTGGGCTGGGCCTGTGACCCAAGATCCTCCTACCTATACCTCCCTCCTAGCTAGGATGAATGCACAGCTTGTTTTGCTGAAACACGGTGTCACTTTTTGCCCAGTCTGACTTTAAATTACGGTCCACCCACTCTCTTGCCTCGTGAGTAGTTGGGATTATATTGTGGGTCACCATATGTGTCCTAACTGGCTTTTTCCTATCAAAGTTTTGCCAATTAATTTGGCATTTACTGATAACACCTAGTTTTTCTTTGGAGATAGGAATCTTTGGATGTAGCCTAAGCTGGCCTCAACCTCCACGTGTTCCTGCCTCAGTCCCAGGTGATGAGTGCTGTGTTCCATCACACCTGGCTCTTTGATCATTTTTCATGAAATACTTATTACTGTGTTGCTGAGTTTGGGCTTCTTTCCTCTTTTTCTCCAATCTCAATATCTCTAGCTCTACATCCATCTTCCTCGCTCTGATTCTCTCCTTTTCCACTTGTCTTCCTCTCTCTCTGTCCTGGAGACTAAACTTAGCACCGTGCACACGCTGCCTAGCAGTCCACCACTGAGCTGTGTCTTCTTCCTTCACTGTAATTTTTATTTTCACAGTCTCTGTACATTTGTGAACATTCTTAAAAACATTCTCCCTTGTTCCCCTATGGATGTATTCATTGATTTTCTATCAGTACATACTCATTCTTGGAATCCTACTTTTCCAGTGCTTTGAGGTTAAAGATGGAATCACAAGCAAATCACAGCTTCACACTGCTGATTCAGAATATAGTCAACCCTCAAGAACTCAGACTATTTTTCTTTTTTAAACCTGAGTTCGTCCTTATCTATTTAAATAGAAACTATAATCTGGGCAGTAAAATACATCATGCTGCATTATGGTAAAGAAGTCCGTTCACTTCCTGGCAACCAGGAAGCAAAGAGCAATAGCAAGGGGCTAAGCTTCCTGGACCTTCAGATTTATCTGACTTCCTTTCACTAGGGTCTGCCTACTATAGGTTCTATCCCCTCTTAACAGCAACAGGCTGTGGACCTATCCTTTAACATAGGGCTTTTGAGGGACAGTCAAGTTCCAAACTATAGCAAACAAAAAAGCAGACGTACTGAGAAAGATGCTACTTTACCTATAATCATAGAGGCTGATCTGGGGAGGAAAACAAGTGTTTGGAAAAGTTAGCTCTCAGCATAAAGATACATGAATAATTCTGAGCATGTTAATAATAGTTGAAATAGTTAATGATTTAAAACTAATTGGGGGCTGGGAAGGTGGCTCAGTGGTAAAGCACTTGCCTTGCATGCTTGAGGCCCTGGGTTCAATTCCTCAGCACCACATAAGCAAAAAGAAAAAAGCCAGAAGTGGCGCTGTGGCTCAAGTGGTAGAGCGCTAGCCTTGAGCTGAAGAGCTGAGGGGCAGTGCCCAGGCTCAGAGTTCAGGCCCACGACCAGACCCCAAATAAAACAAAAACAAAAATAAAACTAATTCATTGTGTCGATGACTCAAAGCTGTAGCATGTATCATAGTGCAGGTACTGACACTACATCAGCGTGCTCTAAAGTGGATCTGGACACAAACCAACAGGAGACTTTTACTCTGCCCGGATTTAAGGTTTAGTGCCCAAATCCAAGCCTTCTCTGGTCTATGGCAAGTATGAACCAAGTATGTCACAGAGGGCTGACTTGATTCTGGAGTGGACTGCCTTTTACCCTGATCCTCTGGATTTTCAGCTCTGATGTTGAACCATTTGGCTTTCAACAACCTGGCCTTATATGACCTACAGTCTGTTCAGATTTGTTATTCCCAGCCCAGTATCTGCAACAGTAAAACTTGAAGGCTACTTATGCATAAAAATTTCCATTTTCTACAGAAGATGAGAAGGATTTGATGAGGAAGAAGTTGTGATATGGGAGTAGTGGTACGTATCTGTAAATCCCAGTACTGAGGATACTCAAACAAGAGAATTACAAGTTTGAGCCTAGACTGAGTTATACAGTGAGACTTTGTCTCAAAAACTAAATTAGCCGGGCACTGGTGGCTCACGCCTGTAATCCTAGCTACTCAGGAGGCTGAGATCTGAGGATCGCAGGCAGGAAAGTCCGTAAGACTCTTATCTCCAATAAACCCCTAGAAAACCAGAAGTGGCGCTGTGGCTCAAGCGGTAGAACGCTCTCGCCTTGAGCTGAAGAGTGCAAGGACAGTATCCAAGCCCAGAGTTCAAAGCCCATGACAGACAAAAAAACCCCAACAAAATTAATTAAATTAAACTAAGTAAATGCATACATACATAAATGCATGCAGGAAGGGAAGGAGGAGATTCTAAGATATAAGCATTCTGTAAGTTAGTATGTTATGAAAATCTTGTAGCTGAGTGCCAGTGGCTCATGCCTGTGATCCTAGCTACTCAGTAGGTGAGATCTGAGCATAATGCCCTGAAGCCAGACTGTGCAGGAAAGTCCATGAGACTTTCTCCAATTAACTGGCAAAAGGCTGGAAGTGAAGCTGTAGCTCCAGTGATAGAGTACCAGCCTTCAGAGAAAAGGGTATGGGGCAGCACCTAAGCCTTTAGTTCAAAACTTACCACCAGCACAAAAGCAAAAACTAGAGTATATAGAAAACAAATAAAACAACTGTAAATTCAAATGAAAATGTACGTTAATATGGTAGGATTAGGAGGATGTTTTTCCTATATGTGATACTTTTGTAATACTTTCACCATAAAAATCAACAAATGCTGAGTTAACAAGTTATTTTAGTTTTAAATTTTACCTGATATCCTATAATTTACCTTAAAATTAAATGTTTCTAAGATGACTATTGCTTACCTTTCTCAGAGCAGCATGTAATTACTTCACTGCGGGAGCTTCAGCAAAGCACAATGTGTCTGCATCAGCTGTTAAGTAGATATAATGGTCATCAATTTTTTAATAAAAAGAAGTATCTTTTTCAAAATCATAAAAGTGATACAAAATATGACTTCAAAACACTGAAACTCTTCAATGTGTTTTTCTTTTTAATAGCCCCCAACAATGGTAACCAAGACATGTCAGCCTGGTTCAATCTATTTGCAGACCTGGACCCACTTTCAAACCCAGATGCCATTGGACATTCAGATGATGAACTTCTTAATGCATGACTGATGTTCATTTCAGGGGTCTTGAGACATCAATTTTACAACATACTGCCTTTGTGGAAAGGAGGTTCTATTGTAAACCACACCTGAAACCATGATATTTGCGACTATAATACCTGTCAGCCAGTACCTGTAATCAGATGGTAAGGACCACATATGAATAGATTACATATATGTTTGGATTTGTAGATGCTGATACTAGGTGGAAAATTTTTAAAATAACTGAGTCTGCAATATTTAGATGCCAAATTTAGGTCTAAATAATAGTTAGGAATAATTCTGTCAATAAGAAGTTGAGCTTATTTCTTTGAGAAGCATTTTATATTCATGACCTTGCTGACTAAGAATTCTGTATGTGGTAAGGACAGCATGTACACTGGGTGTGGTTTGGGGGGTGTTTTTAGATAAAACAGGGTCGGGGAGTCTGTTGTGGAAAATAGCATTAGCCAGCTTTGTCTTTGGTTGGAAAGATAGAATAAGAGGACTCAATTTGCTTTAATGAAATCAGAGAAACTGTACTTGTTCCTCTCCATGTGGAAGCTAAAATGTAATATAATGAAGCTGTAATGTTACCTTTCATTCACACAGAAATCATGGACACCCTTAATGCCATTATTAAACGGGGTAAGTAGCAGCGATTAATTTGCACACCTATCTTCCATAGAAATGGGAAAAATTATCTTCCCATTTTATAAAACACAATTTGTAACAACATTCAAGACATTTTCCAAGTATTTCCAGGCTATCACACATGGCTTCAATGAAATGCAACATTCACATTATTCCTGAAATGAGTGGAAAACATTCCCCATCTGGAATTGCCAGGAAATTTCCGTCTTAATTCCAGAAGACAAATGCTAGACACCTCTTTCTTCCACAGATTTGTATGCTTAATCCCTTATTTCTTGATATGATTTAGCTAGAATATTTTCACACAGAGAAAACCCTAAATGACTCATAAGGAGGTGTTTAATTTTTCTGCTTTTCTATTTTTGTGGGTGACATTTGAAACTCTTTGATTATTAAGCAAAAGCTGTTACCCTTGCAGGGTTTAAAGCCTAAGTTTTGGAGGGAAGGCTATTTAACAGAAATTAGTGAACAGTGATTAAAAAAAAACAGCTGCTAAGTATAGCAGCTCGTATAGCAGTACTAGCCACTCGATTCCTGTCTATTTTTTCTATTTTAGTTGTGAGGCAATATTCCAAGTGTTAGTTTGTCATCTAGTCCATTGTAATTCCATAAGAAAACAAAGTTTTGTTCACAAAATTTTCATGTAGTCCTAGTTCAAAACTGGCTTACTTATTTGTAATGCCACTGAACTGCAGTACAGTAGGTAAAATCTGTTGCAGTCTGGCCTAACCACAATGTTAACTGCCATGTGCTTTCCAGAAAATACACCACTATGGTCAAGTATGGCACAGGATGGAAAGATCTTATTTGAGGGCTGGAAACATAGGAAAGGTTATAAAGTCTTCCCTTAATATCTTTTACAATATTATTCCTATTTTTGTTTTTTATGAGATGCTGTTTTTTCAGAAACAATTGTCTTTCTTATTCAGTGAAAAAAATTTCCAGTCTGCAAAATTGTCATTGTTCTGCCAAGATTTTTACCTAGATTATGATTATCAACCACAATCTAAATTCTATGCCTTCAGTGATTCTAGTGCTCTCAACTTTGTTTTAAAAAATTCCAAGCTTACATCTTGTTTTTGTTCCATTTTTCTTGGCAGTAGGATTCTTTGAAATACTTTAGTTCACAGACATTTGAATATTGTCCCTTACATACATGTTCATACTTGTTATCAGGTATAAACAAAGATACTTTAATGAATAGTGGGCCTTGCGGGCTACAAGCTTGAATCCAGACTATGAATGGGCAGGAATAACACCCTCAATTTCCCAAATTGAAATGCACACAAGATTTTTTTCTTAATTCAATTCTTAGTTTCATCTTTCAACACAATATATGTTATCATTTCAATTCCAACAACTGCATTTTTGACAAGCATACCAATAATTGTTATTAAATGAATAATTATTCCTGTTTTCTCAGAGTTAGTAATTCGAGGTCAAAAAATAATTTGATGGTCAGAAAGAGACCTTTTGCTGTAGTAAACCAACACTGATTAATATAGTGCTTGCCTTCCTGCCTATAATCATGAAGGCAAGCACAGTTCAGCAGGAGCAACAGATGAGCAATAACCAGCTGCTACCTATCTCCAGAGCATCCATTAAGAGATTAATTATCCTGAACAAAGAGTAGAATGAGAATATCTCTTTCAAAAATAGATACCTTTTATATTCAATGGGGGGGAAGACATTGATCTTGTACCTTATTTTATACCAGATAAAAAAGCACTGATGATTAGAAAAGCCCCAGCAGAACGAATCTGCCTACTCTGTCTCTATAACTGCCTCTAGAGGAGAGGCGGAATACCAGGGCGTAAGATCAGTGTAGTTTGTTACTTTTTGAAGTCTTTGTTTTGCAACTGTAGAACATAGCTCTGATAAAATTAGAAACAAACTACTTCAATAAAATAGGTTTTAGTATTTGCACAATGTAATAAAAGTGTAATTCAGCTGTGCATATTTCAAATACCTGTATTTATAGATCACCTAGAAATATGAGGGCTTAGAGCATTAAAACAAAAAAAAAGATTAAATGTGCTCTATTTTTCTGAGCCTTATTTATAAATAAAGATTGCAAGATGGCATTAAACAGTTTGTTTCCTAAAGTGTTTTGTTAATCAATAGATAATTCAACAATAATTCATTATTGTTTCCCTATTTTAAAACTTGGGTTTTACCTCAGGGCCACAATAGTGAGAAAGTAAATGAAACTGACAAAGACACTTGAGAATGAAAGAAAAACCATAGTAGTTGCTATCCTTGTGAAGCAAATACAGAAGAGGACTGGATGTGAGATGAAGAATGTGTATTCTCTATAAACACTTCTGGTAACAAACACAGCTATCAGATGTAAAAATTCCAAGTTTTGAATAGCCATTGAAGAACAGCCATTAGTATTCATCCTGAGTTGTTGAAAGCAGGAATAAAAAGTAGAGAACCAAAGTGATCTAGTTATTTCTGTCTTCCATAACGGCAGAGCCCTACATCTCTTTTTAACATACCAATTTTTTATTATATCCATTAGACTGTGTGTGTGCGTGCGTGTGTGCGTGCATGTGTGTGTGTGTGTGTGTGTGTGTCGGTCATGGTCCTGAACTCTGGGGCCTGGGCACTGTCCCTCAGCTCTTCAGCTCCAAGGGTACTGTTCTACCACTTGAGCCACAGGGCGACTTCTGGCATTTTCTGTTTATGTGGTGTTGAGGAATTGAACCCAGGGCCTCATGCATGCAAGGCAAGCGCTCTACCACTGAGCCACCTTCCCAGCCCCCTACATCTCTTTATCTCAATGACACTGAAGCAACCTAGAATTGTAAGATACAGATATTAGGAAGAAAATAAAATCTTAAAATATTTACTAATCCAGTAGCACTAAAAATAATACATTTAAACATGCAACAGTAAAGAGTTTAAATATGGCAAAGAAAAACTATGAAACTATGAGTGGATCACATTCAAAAGCCCAACATAAAGTGTCTTTCATCTTCTGTGTACAGCCTAAAAGAAGACATAAAAGCTCCATAAACACTGTCAATGGTTTTCTCTGGGGGATTTGGAGATGGAACTTAAGGCCTTGTACATGCTAAGCCCTGCTGTTAACATTTAAAGCCAAGATATAATTCTTAATTCAGTGGTGTAAATAAACTGTTGGCCAAAGAGTACATTTAAAAAAAGGAAATAAAGATCTGGTTAGTAAGATTTCAAAGTGAAAAAAAAAAAACAACCTTCTAAGCATGGTGGCTTCTGCCTATAACCCCAGCTATTTGGGAGATGGATATCTGGAGGTTATGGTTCAGTTTTTACCAGCCTAAGCAAAAAGATATTTGAGACCTCATCTCAACCAATAAACCATGACTGTATGCCAAAGATACCCCAGGCAAATATGGAAGATCTCTGAAAAATAAAAGCAAAATGGGATAGGCATGTATGCCTTAATTGGTAGAATACCTGCCTAGCAAGCAGGAGGCTCAAACCCTAGTACTATCGCAAACAAAAATTAAACCCTATTTTCCTGCTGCTTCAGTATCATATCCAGCAGGACAAGAACTCCTTTCCTTCTCATCACCTAGAAGCATAGACATTCACCTGTGAATTCCTTTCATACCTTTTTTATGTAGTTCACTCTGCCCCCAAGGCATATGCACATAGGTCTTAACTCTAAACCTCTGGTTCCCACCTGCTCTGCAAGGCTCCCTCCCCTGATGCTGTCATGCCATTCACAGTGGCTGTCTTTCTGGGACTACTGAGTATACAATGCGTGTGTGTGTCTTTTTACCCTGTTTCTCTCCTTTGTCTTTACTTATTACTCACTGAACATCATCCAAAAAAGCCATTTACAAAATGTAAGCATAGTGGCCATCAGTGAGGATCAGTGGTGAGATCTGAGGATCATGATTTGAAGCCAGGTGGGACAATAAAGTCTATGAACCTTTTATCTCCAATTAACACTCCCGACACCCTCTCACCCCCCACCCCACCCCAGTGTAACCATGCAAAGCCTTACCATGCAGAAATAATGACTTAACATTACGGCCTTTTTTTTTTTTTTTTTTGTAGTGCTGTGCATCACGATCCAGGTGATTTCACACCTTTCATTGTCTTCTTTCCCTAAAATGGACAGATTATGTTACAATTTAAAAATTACATTTGTGGGACTAGGGATGTAGTTCAGTGGTAGAGCCTTGCCTAGCACATACAAGCCCCTGGGTTCAATCTAAGCACTACAATATTTTTTTTTAAATTAAAATTACCTTTCTAAGTCAACAAGTCAGCTAAAGGAACAAATGTATGCAGACATGTTCCCCAGATTAAATGCATTTTTCTTTAATTTCTGTAACTACAGCAACATTAAAAACCAGAGGAGGACTGGTGTCACTAACTTCCTGGTTTCTTGTTGGTTGTGGGGCTTGAACTCAGGGCCTGGGTGCTGTCCCTGAGCCTCTTTGTGCTCAAGGTTAGCACTCTACCACTTTGAGCCACAGCTCCACTTTGTTTTTGAGTGGTTAATTGGAGATGAGAGTCTCACAGGGACTCTTCTACCCAAGCTGGCTTAAAATTTTTTTTTAATTTATAAAGATACTGTACAGAGGGGTTACAGTAACATGAGCAAGGTAATAAGTACATTTCCTATCAAGCATTGTTACCCCCTCCTTTGTTTTTCCCCTATCATCCCTTCCTTCCCCATCTCCCCAACTCTACCCTCCCCCCCCACCAAGTTGTAAGGTTCGTTTTCAACATAGTGTCTTTTATATGTCTCATTGTTACAATGGGTCAACCTGTATCCTTGTTTCAGCATTTTATTTCCCTTTCCCTCCCCAAATTAAAAAAATGTATATACAAGATGCAAGGCACCAGAATCAAATACAGTGACAACAGGAGTTATACCATAGGGGGAAGAACATATAAAAGGAAAAAAAATCACATAGTACATTAAAAACTTGTACAACCACTCTGGAATGCAGTATGGAGGTTCCTCAAATGACCATACATAAAGCTCCCCTGTGACCCAGCAATCCCACTTTTGGGTGTTTACCCAAATGGTCACAGACAAGGCTATACTAAACTACCAGCACAACTATGTTTACTGCAGCATTATTCACCATAACTAAGATATGGAACAAGCCTGGATATCCCTCAGTAGATGAATGGATCAAGAAAATGTGATCACACACACACACACACACACACACACACACACAATGGAAGTCTTTGCCTCCATCAGAATACCACCACCCCATTTGTTAGGAAATGGAAAGATGGAAAAAATTATATTAAGCCCCAAAGAAACATAGGTCCCATGGTTTCCCTTATTGCAATAGTAATCTTACCAGACAAGCAAAAAAGGTCAAAAGCTATGTACATAGGACCATATAAGATGATGCTAAGCACAATGAACCACAGTTTGGCTTTGAACCACGATCCTCAGCTCTCAGCCTCCTGGGTAGCTAGAATTACAGGTGTGAGCCATCAGTGCTTGGCTGACTTCTGGTTTTTAACCAGCTTCCTTTGGTACTTGAACCAAGCTGCAACAGCTGCAGCAATCAAGGGAACATGGAAGATAAGGAGAAGGAGCAGGGCAAAGGCCCAGTGTCTGAGACCCACAATCTGCAATGATACTAAAATGTGTTTTATCAGTATTACTGGTGCAGGACAAATAGCAAGACTTAGTTGTTAAGTTCTGTAGTTAAGACTTGGTTCAAAAACAGAATGGGACATTTTTCAGATGTATGACCCATTATGCTAATTGGAATCAACTTAATTCTAATTTTATCTGCTAAACAGTTAAAAGCGTTCCTGGCTTCATAGGGTTATTGTGAAGATTAGGGTAAAAATAACATGTAAAGTGCTTGTCAAATGGTAAGCATTACCAACTTTTATTTACCAACTGTTTTCAGCTCAGTATCTTGACTATAATACCTCATAACCTAAAATAAATTTCATGGGACCACTTTCTATGATTCCAAACCCTGAGTTTTCTATGGAATGATCAGACTGACTTGGCAAGAAAAGGAAGATAACATCATTGCTTCATTTTTTATTTAAGTATTACCCTCATTCAATTGACAGTACCACTGTCAGCATTTCCATTATTGTATAAGAAAACTGAGGTTCAAAAAAATGGACTTTTTGTCCCAGTAGAGCAAGGACTAGTATCTCCCAATACTTAGTACTAGCCTCTAAATCCAGTAGTTTCTTTTTCCTCTAATTCATCAGAATGATCTCAAAAATAGGTGCTTCAGGCATGGGGTGGTGATGGTTATACTCCTAGCTTTTCATCATTGCAGCTTCCATGGTAATCTTCTGCAAAATATGCCAATTCAGCAGGACTATTCCACTCTAGTGACTCAGACTATATGGAGGTAAAGTCTCAGTTGAGAAACATGCTAAAATCTGAAGAACAAGTATTGTATATGCGTGTTAACAAAACCAGCAGTTCAGAGATACTGATTAAAGGGAAGTAGAGACAATGTCTTGGTTTTAGTCTCATCTCTGCAGTAAGATACCAGACTAATCTAACAACACACATGAAAGTTGATATAGAAGCAGTACTTTTTATATAGCTTTGATTACAAGTCTGGATAAAAAATATTTTTTATATTTACATATGACACAGCCTGGTGCATAGCTTAGAGGCAGAATGCAGTTCTACATAAAAATACTTGTGTATGAATAGTTTTCTAATGGATTTCCTAAAAGTTGGTTAGGCCCATTTGAGACCCAAGCATTTCGCAAAACACAGGACCAAATAAAAACAAAGGCTACTGGTATGATCAGACCATATTGTCCTGAGAGTTACAGGAGCTCTACCACTGAGCTCCATCTGCAGCCCAGAAATATGCCAATATGGGGTTCTCTTTGCATTTGATGCTCTGTTGAATTATAAACATCAGTTATACCATAACTCTGGTTAGCATTATCAGAATTGTAATTTTTTATTTTTTGGAGACAGGCTCTTTAGAGGTAACCCTAGAGTCCCTGAACACTAGATCCTCCTGCCTCTTCCTCCCATGTGCTATAATTACAGGCATGTGTCACAGTAACTGGCTCAGAAATACACATGTGTAGCCAGGTGCCAGTGGCTCATGCCTGTTATCCTAGCTACTCAGGAGGCTGTGGCAGAGCACCTACGTAGAAAGCACGGAGCCCTAAATTCAAACCTAGAACACCAAAATTAAGAAAAAAGAAAAAAGAGTGGCGCTGTAGCTCAAGTGGTAGAGCGCTAGCCTTGAGCTGAAGAGCTGAGGGACAGCACTCAGGCCCAGAGTTCAAGGCCCATGACCAACCAAAAAAAAAAAAAGAAAAAAGCCCAACAATTTGATGACCAAACTACTTTCACTTAAAACATAAACCTACTTTTATTATTTTTTATTATTCTAAAGGTGGTGTACAAAGGGGTTACAATTATGTAAGTCAGGTAAAGAGTACATTGCTTTTTGGACAACGTCCCCTCTTTCTTAGTTTTCCTCCAGCTTTTTTCTCCCTTCCCACCCACAGATTCTACAGTTCATTTTCAACAGTGTCTAGTGATTAGCACTGCTGCATTTTTCACCTTTGACTCTACTTTCTTCTTTTTTTTGCCCGTTGTGGGGGCCTGAACTCTGGGCCTGGGCGCTGTCCCTTGGCTCTTCAGCTCAAGGCTAGCGCTCTACCACTTGAGCCATAGTGCCACTTCCGGCTTTTTCTGCTTATGTGGTGCTGAGGAATCGAACCCAGGGCCTCAGGCATGCAAGGCAAGCGCTCTACCACTGAGCCACCTTCCCAGCCCCTTTGACTCTCTAAGTGACTGTAAAGCAGTCTTCATTGAGTTATCTGAATCGGCTGTTATGTTTTTCCAAAAAACAAATGGTGACCCCTAATAAAGGTAAAAGTTAACATTAATCTTCCCAAGCCAAAGTGGGGAGGTTATAATATAGTTAATTGAAATTTTCAGAGTTGCTGAATGGTAGTATGTCTCCAGTGGAAACTTAGCAGCATGAGGGACAAGTGAAGCAATCCACAGTACAATATTGAACTCTATGCTTCCTGAGCATTGTTTGTCCTTAGTAGCAGTCGCTTGGCAACCACATATCATCACATACCAAAGGCTGTCACAGAACAAGAATTTTAAAAAGGAAAAAAACCCATCTCTTTATGTACTTTAGAATGAAACCAACTGTCTCAGCTTTATGATCCCCAACAAACTTAACTAATACATCTTTCAGTAGCTGCTTATATTTTGAGTTTGCTTATAATACTTACTACAAAGATTAGGTACTCTAGCTTTGTATCAAGAAAATATTAACACAAACATACTGTTCTATCAATCTGTGAAGAACACATGTGTTAGGTCAGACTAAAAATGTCTAAAAAGAGTGCTGGAGATAGGGTTCAAGTGGTAGAGTACTGGCCTAGCAAGCCCCAAGTACAAACCCCAGGACTACAAAGAAGTCTGAGAAGAAACACAATGTGAATTTTTGAGACAATATTCATAAAAATACACAGGAGAAACTCTTAAGAACAGACTTTATTTTTAACATAAAAGTTCTCTTTTCTTGTGAGGCAGCAACAAGTGTTCAGGTACAAGGAATACATAAGAACATAGTTACAATATCTATTACCACTGGAAATGCTGCTTTTGGGGTAGAATTTTGTTAGAAAACAAGTTTAAAAATTGCATTTTAAAAAGATTTACAGAGCTTCAACAGAGATAAAAGATGCAGAGTTTAAAAAACATAAATTATACTCAACAGGACTGTATAAACAAAATATTGTTCAGGGTTACTCTGCTTATCACTAATTTGGGCAGAGTAAAAAAACCTTAAAGTGCAGATTTAAATATTCTCATCTTTATTTTGCAAGTTCAGGACTTCCACTGATCCAGTTAGAAGGTAACAAAAAATCTAAGCTTTAGGGAATGAATTTGAAGTTTAGAACAATAGATTTAGTAGTAGCAATTTTTCCTTATTTTAAGAGAAAATCCTGACAACCAGTCCTAACCTTGGACATAAAAGTTGCAATAAATTCTGCCATTTTTGATAGCTTCTTCTAATGAATGCCAACAATTTTTTAAAGAAAAAAGTCTTTCACTGTTGCCAGATATTCCCCAGTATGCAATAGCACCTTCTAAGATTGATTTGGTTAAAAGTGTAAGAAACATTATAAACAAAATGAAGAACTGTGTTCAAAACTAAAAATTTGACATCACACACATCATATTTAACCAAAGAGGCAATACTAGTACTTTTAGAATATAAATGGTTACAAAAACCAGATAAGCAACAGAGTAATAGACATAGTCATGAACAGTAACAGTCAATTTATCAGTTTATTATTACAAGGAATAAACTGTTTAAGGTTAAATTGACAAAAAGTAACGGAAATAGTTCCTTTTGCCAAAAGATACATGCCATCCATTTTTCTTTTACTTAAATGGATTTTTTAAAATTAAATACATTTAAATTAGGAACTTGGGAATGTAGGCCCATGGTAGAAGGCTGCCTGGCATGCATGGGGCTCTGACTTCAGTCCCCCAGCACTGTGGGAGAATTTAGTTATATTCCCATTGAAGCTATTCTATTTACCTTCTGTACAGTGACACAATAATTATGGAGTGTGATTTTAGAATACAGTATTATGTATTCTATTGTGAATACTCATTTTTGAAAAAAATCTGCCATCTGGAAACAAAGGGTTAAATGGGACACCTAGATGGGCCTAAAGTTAATATTCCTTAAAAACTGTGATAAAGCTTATATGCTTAAAAGTTAGCCCTTTGGCACTGACACATAAGAGTTGTTTTGTACCATGGACCTTTGACTTCACATCTCAAGCTCTAGTTCTCCCAAATCCAAGAAATGTGTTTGGTTGCCATACAGTTGATTTCACATTCTCCCTACCACCAAACTTCTATATATAAGACTAAAAATAATAAATCTGAAACTTGTTCTTTCATCTGATTTTTAATTGCTTTTAGATTAAAGATTTATGAAAACCTGCACAAAGGTATGAATTTGATAAAGGTGCACAACAAAGAGCAATTGTTGCACACTAATATTCTAATTTTGAAATACCCTTGTGACTGAGTTGGGGATGGAGACCATAAAGGTGACGAAGCATAAGAGAATGAAAAAAAGATTTAGTAGAATTTAAATTTAAAAGGAAAAAAAAAAACCCCTGAGTTTAAACAAAAGCTGAGCAAAATCTTGTTTTTAACTACCTTCTCCTGCCCATTCCTATTAGCTAACCCAATTTCATTTTTACCTTTCTCTTGTACCTTTCTCTTGTATAGAGCACATACTCACTTGTGAAATAGTAAAGTCAAAAGGCCTAACAAAGAAGGCAAAGAGTTAAAGTAATTTAAAAGAAAAATCAGAAACTTCAGATGCTGCATAACTGAGCTTTGATTGATATGCAAACTGTAACTTAATAGTTCCCAATAACTAGGTTTTAGGTGGAAAAAGTACCAAAAACCCACAAGTCCTACCAACTGAAACCTTACACCTTCATTAAGATATTTAATTGTATCTGATTGAACTAAAATACACCTTCACTTTAAACTGAATAAGGTGCATTATAAATTGCTTAGATGTCATATCAGTATAAATAAGAGTTTTCAGCTGATTTATGACTATGCTTAGATTTTTCTTGATGGAATACGTCTAGACAAGAGGACAAAATTAGCCTCCAAAATGGTAACCCTTTTACAAGGACTTAAAAATATTTTTTCTACCTATTATACATATGAAAACATCAACTCATTGCATCGTATGAAGATATTAAAAGGATGCCTTTTATCAACACTTTGCTAAAGTTCTTCTAAAAAGAGTTGCTCCTTAATTTCATTACCACATACCTAGAAATGAAATAGTGTCATGTATTATTGGCAGTGGTTTGTATTAGAATGAGCCCAAATACAAAATTGTTTGGATTGTTCAAAGGTACCTGTTGTTTATGATCCAAAGCTCTTATCTGTTTTTCCCCCCACTGGAATATTGGAGAACAACTTAGAAAAATCTGTAGACAACAAATCTCAGTGCCAACACTGTAAAGAAAAGTCAATCTCAAGATTCTGTGGCTACAGATCGCTATTCAATGGATTACACTCCTGGCAAACTACTAACCCTGACCAAATCCACAAGACAACAACATCACAAAAGCAAAGGAGGAAATCCATGCACAGCCATTTTAGGGTCTCTTGGGGCTATGATACAGTGATGATTAAAGGTAGAATGACACCTGGCAAAGGTGGGCGATCATGTATAGACATTTCACAGAAAACCAAAGGGTTCCTCACTCCTAGCTAGCAATCAACACTGGATAGTTTCCTTTTGGCTTACTGACTTTTAAACCAAGTTCCAATATGGGTGAACATATTAAAGCACTTGTCTTCAGACTAACTTTTCTGATCACATGGTAAAATGTGTACAGGAATAGTGAAGAAAACAGCAGTTTTACAAATATTTCACCCAAAGCACAAACAACATCAAAAAACATAAATCACATAATGTAGTACAAATATTGCTTTTTATCTCTTTTATATATACTGTTTAACATATTTACCTATCAATTCTTATTTGGGAGAAGAACTTAGTCATGAGATTAACATTGCTGGGAAAATGTCAACAATCCCTTTGGTCCCAAAGCTGAAAACAGCAAAAAAAGCACACAACTTTTTAGAAAGGGAAACAAGAAACAGAGGCCACCAAAGAATCTTTTGAACATCCTGTTTGCTACGCTTCAGAAAATGTTACATTGGTATTATAAAATAGTTTTCATATAAAAGATGGTTCTTGCAGCATCATTCACATCTCCCTTCATGAATTATGTTTGTAGGGATCAGGTTTTGTGTATGTGTGTCTTTTGTCTTTAAGTCTAATTTGAAAACAAAAAAGAAATGTGGTATTGTCCCTCCAAAAAGTAAAGAATGAGACCTTATTTCCATCAGTGCTTTTAGCAAAGCAGGCAAAGCACTGATGGTTGGCCTTCATGAATGGGGCAGAGCAGTCAGAAGGACTGCTTTCTTCCAGAAGCCTCGCTGTCACACGTCACTGGATAGCTAGAGCACATCACAGCCAACAGGGAGCACACGATGTCAGCATAGTCAAGTGATGTGAGGACGTCCTAGTTTCCCAGAACATGGTCACATAGCACTGGGACCTATCCTTCAGCTTCCTCAATTGGTTCTGGTGGTGGAAGTAGGGAGGCTGATGGCAGAACTGTACTGGTTCCTCGAGAGACCCGGTCTTGTTCTGTGTTTGTAGACAAGGAGGCCACAGCAATGGGCTGAAGCAGAGTGCTTGTCATGCCAGTGGTGACTGTCAGGCTGTGGCCAGAGCCTTTGAGGGTAAGATCTGGTGTAGGAAGGAGTGGCTTGAGGATACTGACCAGGCAGAAAGCAGAGCCACTTTTAGGAATGAAATTCACCTTGTTTTTGTCAGGACAGTAAAATGCTGGGATTTCATGAAGTTGTTTTGGCCTAGATGTAATAAAACAGACAACCCAATAGTGTTAAGTCACTTAACATTGAAATAAACGCTTTACTTCCCCCTTGCCCCCTGCCCCCAGAACAACTTCTTTATTTTATTCTTATTGTAAAGGTGATGTATAGAGGGGTTACAGTTACATAAGTCAGGTATCGAGTACATTTCTTTTTGAACAGTGTTACCCCCTCCCTCATTTTCTCCCAGTTTTTTTCCCCCTCCTGGTCCCTCTGCCCCCCAAGTTGTATAGTTCATCTCCAATACAGCGTCTAGAGAGTATCACTGCTGAATTGGTTCACCCTTTGTTCTACCATTTCTGTGCTTCCCTTTCCCCTCTCCAAATCAGATAAACTTACATACAAGACAAAAAGTACAGAAATTTAAAAAAAGTGACAAAAGGGAAAAAAAACATAAAAAAATAAGAACTGCAGAAAGTAAAATAGAAAGTCTTGTTTTCATTTCTTGGATATTATTTTGATAAGCATCATTTTATATGCTCTAATGCTCATAGCTATTGAGCCCTTATGGTCCTCTCTTAAGAATATCCTCCTTTGGTCTCACTGTGTGAATGTTTAAGAGTCCTGTTTTAATTTATCATGTCCAAGTGTAATTTTTTGTCTTTTACCATCCATTGGGTTTACCTGTACATTTATAGGCACATTAATTCTATACTTCCATCAGAAAGAATGACATTGCCCCATTCATATGGAAATAGAAAGACTTGGAAAAAAATATATTAATTGAAGTAAGCCAAACCAAAAGAAACAGACTGCATGGTTTCCCTCATTTGTAAAAACTCTTTACTTTTTTAAAAAAACAGATAATGTACATAAAGAAATACAACCAAAGCTATCTATGTGAAAAACCCTGGGGTTATTTTTTGGGAGGGGGCAGATTTTTTGGGAGGAGGGAGTGGGAAAAGAAGAATCTCATAGATATGCTGCTTAGGTTGGCTTCAAGCCTCCAACCTCCAGATCTCAGTTTCTTGAGTAACTAAGATTATAGGCGTGAGCCACTGGCACCTGATTGAGAACTAGATTTTTACTCAACTAATTTATTTAATGTTACTTGTTGTAAAGCTGCTTGTTAAAAGCCACTCTACAGACAGGGTTAGGGGGTAACTCAGTATGAGGGTGCTGCCTTTGTATGAGCAAGGCCTTGGGTTCTATTCCCCAGCACCAAAATAAATAAATTGAAGTATTTAAAAAAATTTTAAATGACTTGATACATGTAGCTACTAATACATGTCATGGATGAAATTTCACATTTTTGAAAAACTTCCTGACTTTGTGATCAAATTCTGAACCTAGAAAACATAGGGTGGTTGGTTTTGTTTGTTTTGCTTTGTTTCGATTTTTTAAATTTAGTGACAGAATCTAAAAAGCATTTAGTTTTCTTTATGCTTTCATGAAAACAGACTTATGACATACAGCACAAAATAGTAATAACCTGTCTAACTAATCAGATTAGGAAACATAATAGTAACAGCAAACAGCACCAAAAACTCCTTGTCCCTCTTCTAATCACTACCTGAACACAAAAGAATCTCCCCAAACCCATTAGATTTCACTTCTAGGAGTACCTTATTCAAGGAAAACAGAACCCACTTCTGGGGTATAGGTCCTGTCTATTAAAACTTGCAGTTTTCGGGGCTGGGAAGGTGGCTCAGTGGTAGAGCGCTTGCCTTGCATGCCTGAGGCCCTGGGTTCGATTCCTCAGCACCACATAAGCAAAATGAAAAAAAGCCGGAAGTGGCGCTGTGGCTCAAGTGGTAGAGCGCTAGTCTTGAGCTGATGAGCTGAGGGACAGTGCCCAGGCCCAGAGTTCAAGCCCCACAACCGGACCCAAAAAAAAAAAAAAAAACTTGCAGTTTTCATTAGCTCCAAATATTACTATTACTTTAAAGCATTCTGCAACTTAAAAATCAAACATACATGAGAGGATCACCCTGGAACACTGCTGTAGAGCTAACCCAGGAGGGCCTCTTAGGGCAAGTGTTCAGTAGCACAGTTTGGGAAACAGATCTCTCCTGGAAGGCTCTGTAACTCAGTTTCAAAAACAACTTTTTTTTTTTTTTTGGTCGGCCACGGGGCTTGAACTCTGGGCCTGGGCGCTGTCCCTCAGCTCTTCAGCTCAAGGCGAGCACTCTACCACTTGAGCTACAGCGCCACTTCCGGTTTTCTGGTGGTTTATTGGAGATAGGAGTCTCACAGTCTCTCCTGCCCTGGCTGGCTTTGAACCGCGATCCTCAGATCTCAGCCTCCTGAGTAGCTAGGATTACAGGCGTGAGCCACCAGCGCCCGGCTCAAAAACAACTCTTAATACTAAACACAGCTCAAGTAGTAAAGTTCAGTCCCCACTACTGCCAAAAGAAAAAGAACATGTGTAAGCTGTAGCCCCCTGATGCATAAGTGTGCGGAGTAAGCTAACAACAAAAACCATCAGTGTATACCCAAAACAGAATTCCTAATGAAGACCAAAAAGAAATACCTGAGGAATATTAAGCCTATCAAGTGGGAAGCAACCTAGGAAAACAAGTTCCTGAAGTATCAAAAATGTACTGCTAATCAGCCACACTTCTCAGCACCTTGGCCCAAGGACGGGATGACCAGGTCTCGAGTATTCATGCCTTTAATCCTAGCTACACAGGAGACTGAGTTTCATAGGATCATGGTTCTAGATCAGCTGGAAAGAAAATTCCAGAAGACTCCCTTCTCAATGGCAGAAGCTGAGTGGGGTAGTTTGTGCCTGTGATCCCAGCTACACTGAGAAGCCTACAATAGGCAGATAAAAGTCCAGCTGTGTGCCTGGGTAGGAAGTACTAGTATTACACCCGTAATCCTAGCTACTCAGAAGGTTCAAAACCATAGGATCATGGTTCAAAGCTAGCCCAGACTCAATCTCCAAAATATCACAAAAACAGTACTAGGGGCTTGGTTCAAGTGGTAGAACATGAACTAAGTAAATAAGTGAGCAAGCACAAGGTCCTGAGTTCAAAGCCAAAATTTTTTAAATTACAAAACAGGGCTGAAGTTGGGGTCACTGGTAGAATACCTAGCAAGTGTGAGATCCCAAGTTTAAACCCCAATACTATCCCTACCCCAACTCTGTCCCACAAAGAAGGATGGGGTGCAAGGGCATCATAAGAGAAAATGGTCATGTAGTGACTATTCTAATGAGAGGATTTTAGGCTAAACTGTCTCCTTTTTTAGAGGCCTTTTTTAAAGGCTCTGACCTCAGAGCCCCATTTTGATACCCTAATATAGGGGCTGCCACTTCACTAGCCTACACTTCTGTCACTTTCCAAAGGTACAGGTGGGAGTCTCTCCCATGCTCCAAACTGCACCCCTTCCCAGGGATGGATGACAGGCAAAGTAAAGTAAAGGAACTAGGGAAAGAGAACACAGAGTATGTACCAGGATTTGGGGACGAAATGTTCATTTGCTAAGAAATGAATTAGAAACAGCGTGGGAGCAGGAAGTTTTCAAGAGACAAGTTGGAGGAAAAGTACAATTCTGTGATGTTCTTGATTTTAATCCTCACACCACTTGGTTATTAGAAAAGAAATCTGAGGCACAACTGAAAACAAAAACAAAAAAAAATCTTAGAACTGTGGTTTTGTGGAGAGGGTTTTTTTTTTTTCTTGTACCAGGAATTTAACTCAGGGTCTCTTTCTTGCTAAGCATGTACCTCTAAAACATCATCAATCCTATGTTTTATTTTTCCTTTAACAGTTATTCTTAAATAAAACATTAAGAATTGTGTCCAAAGTAGATATAAGCCAAAGTAGATAAGCTTCACTATCTGAGATTCTGTCAAGGATTTCATTAACTGGAACCGGGAAAATACATTGGCACCTGGAAGACAAAAATACATACTCAGGGCCCAAGCTATTTTACTCAAGGCTAGCTCTCTACAACTTGAGCCAGAGCCCCATATCTAGCTTTTTTGAAGTTTATTGGAAATAACAGTCCCATAGCTGGCCTCAAACCTCAAATCTCAGTCTCTTGAGTTGAGTTGCTAGGATTACAGGCATGAGCACCATCACCCAGCGAAGAAAAATATTCTTTTTTTTTTTAAATTGTAAGGTGATATACAGAGAGTTACAGCTGCATAAGTCAGGCATGAAAAATATGCTTTTTTTTTTTTTGGTCGGTCGTGGGGCTTGAACTCTGGGCCTGAGCGCTGTCACTCAGCTCTTCAACTCAAGGCTAGCGCTCTACCACTTGAGCTACAACCCCACTTCCGGTTTTCCGGTGGTTTATTGGAGATAAGAGTTTCATGGACTTTCCTGCCCGGGCTGGCTTTGAACTGCGATCCTCAGATCTCAGCCTCCTGAGTAGCTAGGAATATAGGCGTGAGCCACCGGCGCCCGGCTATTAATAATCATTGATCATTTTCATATGCCAGATTTCTCTCTTTTTTTCTTTTTGTCAGTCATGGGGCTTGAACTCTGGGCGTGAGCGCTGTCCCTCAGCTCTTCAGCTCAAGGTGAGTGCTCTACCACTTGAGCTACAGCGCCACTTCTGGAAAAATATTCTTAAACAACGATTTAAAAAACAATTTAGCCGGGCGCTGGAAAACCGGAAGTGGTGCTGTGGCTCAAGCAGTAGAGGGCTTGCCTCAGCTGAAAAGCTGAGGGACAGTGTTCAGACGCAGAGTTCAAGCCCCATGACCGACAAAAAAAAAAAAAGCTAAACTTTTTGGACCACTAATCTACTATTGCTTTAATGCAAAAGTATTCACTATTTGATCTAACTTTTACATAAGCAAGGGCAAAAAGAGACTAACTTTTGTAGACTTTGAGTAACTTGTTTAATAGGAAGTTAAAATTACTTCTAAAACATCCACTTTTGAATTACTACTGCCAATTAATCTTTTGGACAAAATTAAAATGCTAATAGATTTTCACATTTCACACAGATTAGTACATTTGTGTGCTACACAATTTTTATATCAGTAAAAATTCCTAGGAAGCATTAGAATAAAAAAAAACCAGATCAACATACCATAAAACTTGCAATGTGTTTGAGTAACCCTGTTTGATCTATTTATCCATCTATACATACACTGCTCCCTTCAAAGTATATAACAGAAACAAATAGCTCAAAGAGTAAGTAAGCTATTTCATCTAAGTGAAATAGTGTACAGCAAAAAACAAGACACTAGCTTATATAACAAATATCTAGTCATTTCTAAGAAGTAAATTGAAATTGCTGAGCCAGTCAACCATTTCTTTACACTTAGACAAGTCCTAATTGCCAAATAAGTAAAATCAAAGAGCTCAATTCAAAAAAGCTGTATTGAGGCTATATTTAGATTTTTACTTTTAGGATCCTATTTAAGAACCCTCATGAAAAGCTAGCATTTTCAAACTGAGCATTAAGATCATCTGTCCCTCAGGACTTGGTAAAGATACAGAAAACTCAAGCCCTGCTTTCAAGTTTATTGATTCATTAGTACTGGGTTGGGGGCCTGGAATCTACAATTACAGTGAATTTTGCAGGTGATAATAATACAAGGCATCTATAGAACAAATCTACTTAAACTCTCGTAGCTGACATGAGCTAAAACCTGCAGATCAATGTGGTAGAAAAAAATAAGTACTTGCTAAAATAAGAGTTCAATTACTGTCAGAGACACAGATAGGAGACTGACTGGTATTTCCTAATAGAGAAATTGAAGGGATTCAAACATAATATTCTTTGTGTGGCAAATTATTCAGAAGTTAGGTTAAAAGAGGCTCCAAATAGGAGGGAACATAGAAGAAACAAAAAGATGCATATTTCAAATAATTCCAAATGTTCATGACAGAAAAAAAAAGACTGTGAACTAGGGAAGGCTGCACTATTTTCATATTATATTTTAGTCTTCACAAGAAACAAAAGCAAAAAAGGGTGGCTCTTAGACCTGAGGCTATGATGAGACTGGAGGGTATGGGCTAAGCACTATCATATCCCAAATATTAATTTTCTCAGTGGTTGACTGCTTACCTAGCATACATGAGGCCCTACGTTAAAGTTCCAACCGTCTCTCCACACTCCCCCCCAACACAAATTTTGCTTCTTACATTATCACAGCGACATGCCTAATTCTATAAAGCAAAAAAAACTGATGGTATTGGCAAATGATTTCAAAAATAGTTTAAAAGAGCTGGACCCAGCCACAAAAAATACTCTGGAGATAACTGCGGCACCAAATAACATTACCTGATACTACACATTGCTGTTAATTTTCTTCAGTGTGATAGCAGTATTGCACTTATACAAAATGCTAACAATTATATAATCTGCATGGTTGATAAATGCATGGTCAGTATATTGGTCTTGCAATTTATGTGAAAATTCTAACAAAATTTGTTTTGGTGAGGTGTGCAGGTAGGTACTCACGAGCATTCCTCAAAGACTTTGACTCTTTCACAGCCCTCAGGAGGTTCCCTTTTGAACATGTAACTGTTGTTAGGTTTTGGTGAGGTTGCGTATTTGGGCAAAGGAGAATTGTTCCCATTCTCTGCAAGAAAATGACACACTATATTACTAAGAAATATATCTTAGTAAAATGCATACTGTGTTTAACACTCTTGTCTACTTTAAGGCAGAAAGTCTTTATTCATCATCACCATAATATATAGCACAATTCCTGATTTTAAAAAAAGGTAAGTGTTAAATGCATAAATAGATTATTTCTTTTTATTTAAAATTATCAGTCTAGACCTATACTACTTCATCCTCAGTTACAACACTGTTCTAACTGGTTGCTTTGTTTCTATTCTATACTCAATACTATTTCCATTTTTTCCCATCACTAATATCTGAAATAGATTTTTTATTGCTTGCCTGGACCTGTCCTTCACAATTTCTTAATTTGATCACTCTGTTCCTAGTAGTCCCAACAGATATTGTATGCCAAATACTTCCTTTTGCCTATGAGTTTCTCATTATAAGGAGAGTTCTACTCATTTTCCCAAAACATCTTGCAAAGTCTACATCAAAGTTTTAAAAATCTTTACAAATTACTCTGGTTAATTAAAAATATTATTGGTTCTGTTTAACTTAAATTTTTAGTATGTTACAGGACTGTTCCACATTTTCAATATGTGTTAACTAAACCATAAATTCCTGTTGACAGTAGTGCTGTGGCCTCCTTTTTTCTTCCCTTTCTCCTCCTTTTGCGTTTTCCTTCCCCACTCCTCTGCCCTCCCTTCTCCTTTTCTGTGCCCTTTCCACTTCCCTTAATCCTCCTCTTCTCATTTTCCTCCACCTTTCCTTTCTACTCTTTCCCCCGCTTTTCTCTCCCTGTCCTACTCACTCTTCCCTGATTCCCTCCCTCTCTACCTCCCCCCCCCCCACTCCCCTGCAGTAATGGGGATTTAACCCAGTGTTCCTGCTCCAACATGTAAGCTCCGGCTCTAGACCCTTTTGTTGTTTTTGAGATAAAGTTTTGATTTTGATAAATTTGAGGCCAGCTTTTCTCATGAAAGAAACTCATAAGTTGGGCGCTGGTGGCTCACACCTGTAATCCTAGCTACTCAGGAGGCTGAGGTCTGAGGATCAGGGTTCAAAGCCAACCTGAGCAGAAAAGTCCCTGTAAGACTCTTATCTCCAATTAATCACTCAAAAACAGGACGTGGCACTGTGGCTCAAAAGTAGTAGAGCACTAGTCTTCAGCACAAGAGGCTCAGGGACAATGCCTAGACCCTGAGTTCAAGCCCCCCCCCCCCACAAAACCAACAAAATACTCATAAAAGTCAACCAATCATTAGTTTTCTAAAATCAAATTTAACAAGGATGAAAAAATATATGGAATTTTTACCTGTAAAAGCACAAGTATGAAAATTCAAGGGGTAGATCTTACTAGTCATGTTCTATCTGACCTAAAACAAAAAGGTCCAAATAGCAAGTTCAAACTGTCCATAGTTTAATGTGGCTTCAGTAAATCTTCTGTCTTCTGTACTTGTTAGATTCAATGATTAGGCAGCTGGTCAAACTAATGCAGCATTTAACACAATATATAGGAGGTTCTAAATAAGTAACTACTAGGAGGTTCTAAATAAATAACTACTGAGCTGTAGAATTTATAAATTCTCTATTGTTGAGTATGTACATCAGCAGATTAGGGTAACAAAATATTGCCCTGATTACAAGTTTTTTTAAAAAAGCATCAAATTTGTTTAAAAGGTAGAGTACTTAATATTCAGACTGCTTTCTCCTTCTGGTTATTTTTATGACATATAGCATACTCCACCCTTTACTCCAGGCTTGATTTGCACATTCATCTTGCTATGTAAACCAGTTTAATTTTTGCTGGAAAAAGTATTAAAAGAAACTAAATTGAATGTTTTATATTTAGTTAGAAAGTATCCAGGTAGGCAAGAGAGAGCAACGAGCTTTACAGGAAAAATGTTTATCATGAACAAGAAAGTTGCATTACTAAATGCCCCAAATAAAAAAAATACCAACAAAATTCCATAAATTCACCAAACTTGTCTGAGCACTACAACAAGACTATTTTGTGGTATAATTTTTTTTAACCTATGCTTTGATGCCATTACTCTGGTAGCCTGGGTACACACAGTGTGTATCATCCTAGAAAATGAACAGAATGAATAATAAAACATATGGAATTCAGTTATTATCCAGTGACAATTTCCTCTAGCCTTACTATACCTTTATCCCTGGGATCAACAAGCAGGTCATCAGCTGAACAAGGACTCTCCTCGCTGCCTTCATTGGAGATGGTGAGGAAGGATGTGGGGGACACAGACTGAGAGCGGCTGCTATTGTTGCTTCCCCTGTCTGCCCCACCAGGGGTCTGTGTGTCAATGCTTCGTGTGCTGCTACTTCTCTGTGCAAGGGGGGGAGGTGCACGATGGCCATCTGGAATATCTTGTGGCTGTTATAAAATTTTTAAAGTATAAATGTATTTAGCATTGATTTTGAAATTCACCAGCTATGCACCTTTTGTCTGTAGTGTCAGAAACTCACAAATTCTAAGCCAGACATGGTGGCGAATGCCTGTAATTTCAGCACTCGGAAGGCAGGAAGATTTTGAGTTGAGGCCAGTCTATGTACAAGGCCAAACTGTATTATTGTACATAACAGAACCCTGTCTATTATTTTTTAATTTTTAACTTTAATTGTTATTATAAAGGTGATGTAGAGAGAGTTAAAGTTTCATTAGTCAGATAATGAGTACGTTTCTTTTGGATTCTCCTGCTCTTTTTCCCTCCCATCCCCACCCACAAATTGTATACTTCATTTTCAGCAGTGTCTAGTGAGTTTCACTGCTGCATTTCAGAACCCTGTCTTTAAAAAAAACCCAACAACCCTCCTCCTTTTCAGTCTTTATGTGGCTTATTCTGACACCCTATCTAATCTAACAGCCCCACACAAAATCCTAGGTGAAGAATTTATCTTCCTAGAATCTCATACATATGGGTAGTCCATGCTTATTGAATAAATGAACTGTTGAATTATTTATCATACATAATTATAAATGTTATTTTAAAAATTATAAAGAATAATCAAGGTAAAAGAGAAAAACTCTTAGGTATGCTAGATTGCATATGGATAAAGGAAAATGTTACCCAAAGATTATCTAGTGTTAATATTAATAATTAACTATTTGATAATAGGCTCCTGCTTTCTTTCTCTTCCTGCTGATTCCCTCTCAAAGTTTCTTTTCAAAGAAACCTTTGAGAAAGAGAGAGAGTAGTAGTGCTAATTATAAGAGGAAATCAAGGAGACGCTCAGAGGAAGGCTTGTATGGCTCACTTAACAGGCAAACCAGCTTGTGGTACACCTTTGATTCACTTAACTTTAATCCTACCTCATCATGCAGAATGGAAGGAAAGTATGGGAAGTTTGTTTTCTTTTCTTTTTTTTTTTTTAGATGTCAAACTATGTTCTCTAAGTTATTCTCAAATTGAGATCCTCCCCCAAGTAGCTGAGATAATAGGCATAGGCCACCACAGCCACCTGTTTGTCTTATGGGAGCAATCTTAAAACATCAGTAAAGTATTACTTTAAACTTTCTAATTACTCACTCACCAAAGAAGTAAATATCCTCTGTGATACAGTTTTTAAATCTAAGTAATAATTTTTCTTACTGTTTTATATGTAACTACTCTTATATGTACAGTATCTCCTTCACCAAAAAGTAGAGGCTTTGGTAAATATCCTCTGTGATATGGTTTTTAAAGCTAAGTAATAATTTTTCTTCATACGTCTTATACATAAATATTCTTACATGATCTTGGATGTAAGACTATTTCTTTGTTTTTGTGAACTGAGGTTTGAACTCAATTTTGAGCTTGATGGCAGGTGCTGTCACTTAAGCAGGTCCCTGGACCTCGCTGTAGATCATTTCATTTTTTTGGTGGCTCTAAGGTTTGAACTCAGGCTTTACGCTTGCCAGAGAAGTATTCTACCATTTGAGCCACACCTCCAGCTCAATTTTGCTTCAGTTGTTTTTCAGGTAGGGTCTTCCTTTTTTTTTTTTCCCCAACATAATTCAGGCATATTCTGCTACAATTCACTTACTGATTGAGATGGGGGGTCTCAACTTTTTGTCCAGACTGGCCTGGAACAGTTATATTCCTCCACCTGACAAATAGCTAGTATTACAGGTGTGAGCCACCATGCCTGGCTATATCATTTCTAACTGCACTTCATGGACATATAACCTAGCATATCAACTAAATCTAAACAGTAACAGACAAACTACAGGAAACATGCAGAATCATGTTTAGAAAGTATCTGATGTCCTAAAATCTTTCTTAGTAAGCTAAATTTTTGTTATATAGAATTACAGCAAATGAGAACAGAGTACCTGTCTAGTTTATAAACACAGATAAACAAAAGTTTCCAAATTTAAAGTTAGATCAGTTGCTTCGGTGAAATATAAAAAATTTTCCAGTTGCCAACATCCAAATTTTTCAAGAGATAATTTTTTTCTAAATAAGTAGCAAGAAATTAATACAAAAAATGGTTAATTTTTAGAGTAATTAGAAGAGTTCATGTGTATGGTTGATTTGAAATACTAATTACTATTGGGCTCTGGTGACTCATGCCTATATCCTAGCTACTCAGGAGGCTGAGATCTGAGGATCACAGTTCAAAGCTAGCTGGGGTAGGAAAGTCTGTGAGACTTAACCACCAAAAACCAGAAGTATAACATGGCTCAAAGTGGTAGGAGTGCTAGCCTTGAGCAAAAGAGCTCAGGGACAGCACCCAGCCCTCTGAGTTCAAATCCCATGACAAAAAAGAAAAGAAAAGAAAGGGGGAGGGAGAGAGGGAGGAAGGGAGAGAAGGAAGGGAGGGAGGTAGGGAGGGAGGGAGAGGAAGGAGGGAGGGAGGGAAGGAAGGAAGGCAGGCAGGCAGAAGAAGAGGAGAGGAGAGGGGAGGGGAGGGGAGGGGAGAGGCGAGGAGAGGCGAGGAGAGGAGAGGAGAGGAGAGGGAAGAGAAGAGAAGAG